GCCAAAATGTAAGTCCATAATACCAGCCTAGTTCGGCAAGGGTTGAAACAGGACTTTTATAGTCAGTTAACTCCCTTGCCTCAGGAAGATGCAGTACTACAGACATTCCCCTTCTATAAAACAGAACTTTCCAATCAGCTTAGGGAAGCAGTTTTTGTTATGCATTTTGTAGAGGCTGCTGATCATGTGTATTGAACTAACATGGCAAATGATAACCAGAAAGAATTGAAGTCACTACCCCTTTTAATGACTAATTTATTTATTAATATGATCATTAAAATGGGTTGAGGGATTTGGTTATTTTACTCATCTTGATAGATTTGCTTATAAAGTCAATATTGGTTCTGCCAATTGACTCGCATTCCTGACTATTTGTAAGTAGTTCTGCTTGTTAATGAATTATGTTTATACTGTCACCTATCAATACCTGAGAATAGCATAGGGCATGGTGATTGAATGGTTTAGACTTTGTGGTTTAAAAAGTGATTACCCCACCCCACCCCACCCCACCCCACCCCACCCCACCCCAACCCCCAAATATAGTACATGTTGCACTGTATACCTATACCTATGTCTGTATCTATATACAGATTGACTGTATCATGTTAGTGGTGCTACTTGTGGCAGTACTTAGCTGTTCCCTCCGTACAGGACCGCCTCCGTGGTCTAGTGGTAGAGTGTCTGCCCGTAGAGCGGAAGGTCCGGGGTTCGATCCCCAGCCGCATCATACCAAAAGATGTTAAAATATGCAGAGCTCCAGATAAGCTTTTGGTGTTGTGGGTATTTTACCCATGCATTTTAAAATCACTGCGTATCAGCTATTCTATCTGGGTATTCAAATTTCTGTTACCCACTAGTTTTTACACATGTGGGTATTTAAGTTAAATATTTAAAAACACTATTCATCTAGTCCCTGCAAACTGGTGTTGTGTTGGTTCGAGAGCTTTATAGGACTAAAAAATACCACGATACTTCCACAAGAAAGTGTGATGGCAAATGATCATGATGTAACTGTCATCGTGGAGTTTGGCAAGGTTGACGGAATGCCCGTTTATAATTTCAAAATAAGTTGCTGATTTGCCAATTGAATACGCAGGGTTACGTCACAATATTTTGAATATACGCACAAGTTTTATTTTTGTAGCGTATCTGTAATGTTCGTTGCGTATTTGATACGCTTGGATATTATTTTACTGCGTGTTTCTGCATTTCTGATGCGTATTTTACGCAGATACGCAGCTTATCTGGATCTCTGAATATGTTACTTGTTGTTACCCTTTCTGGCGCTCGGCATTAAAGGGCTAAAACAAGGACTGGTCGGCTCGGAGTCAGTATACTGAGTCTGAGTGGGGTATTCATGTTAAACTGCGGCATGGTATCTCAGTGGGCTAGCACTATAAATCGGTACCAGTCCGGACTAGTACAAGCAGCCACACACACACGTGCATGCAAGGGGTGACTTAATGGATTGGGTGGTCGATTCGGTGACTTGGTTGATGGTGTTCTTGCGGGTCTTTGCACACATTTTTGATCACTGGATTGTTTGGTCCAGATTCGATTATGCATATTATGCCGAAACCCGAACTGTCAGGAAGACTGAGTCCTGTTTGTTTCTGCAGCTCCATGTTGTAAGTGTGTGGTGTATATTTAGTAAGTAAACCTTTATTTAGAGTTGTAGTGTGTTTATCTATCCAACTACATTAATGAAGTGTGTCTATTTCTGGCTGGTCCTAAGTGGCTGTGTTGACCGAGGTGCACAAAGACAGCACTGTCATGGGAAGTAGAGTGGCTGACTCGTGGTCTTCACAAACAATGCAGAATGAGGTGCACATACACAGCACTGTCATGGGAGATATGAGTGACTGGCTTGCTTAGTGTTATGTTCAAGATTATTGCACTTTTGGAGTGACTTGCATGCACTGGGTGTGTTTAAATGTATGTGGTTGATTGGACTATTGCCAGTTTTGTAGACTAACATCTAGTCTCTGAAATGAACATATTTTATGGATAAAAACAGTTGTTAAATTATAGTTATGAAATATAATAAAACAGAGCTGAGACGCTTTCTTCTTTTTCAGATATAGTAATCTAGACTTGCTAAATGTGATACACTTGCATGCACTGGGTGTGTTTGAATGTATGTGGTTGATTGTACTTGTCTGGACTATTGCCAGTTTTGTAGACTAACATCTGGTCTCTGAAATGAACATATTTTATGGATAAAAACAGTTGTTAAATTATAGTTATGAAATATAATAAAAAGGAATCAACATCACATTTGCAAACAACACGGTGACTGCCAGGCAGATTTCGGTTGATTGCAGGATTTGCAAATCATGTGTACCTCCAACTCGGCATCAACAGATATTTTCCGAATCTTTTCATGTTTTTTATCAAGGTGCTCAAGTGATCTCACTCATGCATTTCGCGAAGTATCACCATTTGTTTTTTGGCAATATAGATCTTGATTATCGATCAGATGTTCTTGACTAGGTGCCGCCATGTTGTTTGAAGTAAATGCAAGTGATATGAGAAGAGGAATTTGATTGGTCAAGAGGAGGGCCATAGAAGGGCTATAACTCATAATAGCCTCTGGTGCCACTACCATAGAGTCACAAAATTCCAGCCTGATTCGGCAAGGCCTGAAACTGGACTTTCATAGTGAATTAACTCCCTTGCCTCGGGAAGATGGCTGATAGTGGCGTAATATACAACTCATGCATACATCACTGGATTATTTACAGATGGCCGAGATAGAGTTGGAATATTGCCGACTGCAGCTATAAACAACAAACAAGTATTATACGCATTCACAGAGCCCAACGGATCAATACAATTTAACAGTTTGTTATATCGGTCAAATATCAGGGCCTCTTCAGTCTGTTGGGTTAATAATCTTGATAATGTCAAAACTGTTTCATGTTGGAGGAAGCTGTTGTGCCTAGCTTAATAAAGTGGCAGATTAGGTTGGCGGCTATTCATGATACTGTTTCCCTGTGACTGTGTAGAGATGTAAGATTTTCCTGAAGACTTCTGTTGAGGTATAATAACAGGTATGTCGTGCCCTGACTCACCTCGGTCGCTGACTACATTATGGTGTATATTGCAACGTGGAGAAGATTGCTATCTAACCAGCACCCATTTAATCTGGAATCTTAATATAAATTCCTCAAGTGTGATTTGACTGAATATACATGGCTTGTTGGAGACCTGGCTGTTTGTGTTGGGGAAATTAGAATCAGTTATAGATTGTGTCCTCTTGTCTATCAAATAAAGGCTTATTTGTCTGGGTGAAGTGCTCATGGATTATATTGTAATCAATAAGCTCATGTTGAGGGTTCCAGCACAACATACAATGTTGCTGTAAGAAACAATTAAACCTTTTGTTGGATATGTATTTGAGGGTTAAGTATTCAAAAGGAATGCTTTTCAAGCTGATTGATTTTTGGTACTTAAGACATATTTGTTGAGCTTATAAGATGCATCCTACAGTCCTGGACCAGATTGCCAGAAGCAGTGTCATTGATTGCTGAAAATAAAAGGAATAAATAACCCTCCATTTCTGAGCAATGTGCTTCCCCTTCGCCTCAGGTTCTTATTCTTGTAGCTGGCCGATCATGTTTTAACAAGCATGTTGACCTGTGAAGATTCCGGGGTAGAATAGGACTTCAGCAACCCATGCTCCATGCTTGCCGTAAAAGGTGACTATGTTTGTCGTAAAAGGCGACTAACGGGATCAGGTGGTCAGGCTTGCTGACTTGATTGATGCATGTCATCGATCCCAATTGTGTGGATTGATGCTCATGACATTAATCACTGGATTGTCTGGTCCAGACTTGATTATTTACAGACCGCCGTCATATTGCTGGAATATTGCTGAGTGTGGCGTTTAACAACAAACCAAAAAAACAAGTATGGTACAAGTAATAATTAAAATAAATTGATTTACATATTTGCTGACCATACAAAATGACAAATGACAATTGTTTTGTTTTTTTAAATTGATTTTGTTCAACTATTGTATTTTTCCTACAGCTTAAACCGTTCATATTCATCACAAACAAATTGTGCATTAGTTGCCTTCCCAGAGTAGGAAATGGTTGGTCCCTCAGCAGTAAACCAGTACAACAAGCTCATTTGACTGGACGTTTACTTTGATAATAAACAAACGCACAAAATGAAAACAGGGTACTCCATGGTAATGGAACGCTTATGTGTAGTAATTAAGGTATTGTACCACAATGACGACAGTGAGGAGTGGGACGCTTTATGTTTGTACACATCAAAGTAACTGCATGGCGAACTATGCCGTAAGGAGTTCAATATCTGCACATGAACTGTACAACCATTGTTATCAAAGGAGGAATACACAAATGTAAATAGTTTTTCACATGTGATGATTTCCTCAATGAAAGTTAATCATTTCATGTCAGATGTTTATCCAACTGTGTAGGTTATTTTAAAGTTAAATGGACTAAAAACAAATATAATTTGTTGAATATTGGACTGTGTAAGGTGTGGTGAATTGTCACATCTTGCTGGCCAGTGGCAGAGGTACTAGGTTGACCACAGGGAACTCTGGGTAGGAGAGTAACGCAGTCACACATTGTTACATGGACATGCTCTTCAGTCTGTTGTTATGACAAGACACATTCTGCCTGTCATCCATATGGGGCCTTGATAGTTTGCATGGACAACTAAATCTTGAAGACAAACTTACTAATCAACTTCAATTCAACTTTAATAGAGTTTATTTTGTTTGAGTCAATTCATTTTCACTGCTTGGGATTTAGAATGCCCCCATTCAACCTATGTTGGTTGGTCCACAGACTTGTATAACAAGGTTATATAGGTCCGTGGTTGGTCAAGGTGCCGAAGTTGATGGGGTTGTCCAGCTAACAACAAACAATAAAAACAAACACCATTCTGAAGACTCACAATGTGTTATGTAATGTAGGCCTAAATTTGTCACAGTTCTAAATTTGCACTCTTTATTTCAGAACTGTTTGAGAAAATAAGAGAGAAGATTCGTCAACAGCGCCTCACAGCTTCATCTTCAGGTATGTGGCAGCATTGTTCAGGGGAAAATGGGGTGTCGTCAGACAAGACGTACAACCTGGCAGAGTTGTCTGTCAAAGCATGTGCTGTCTGAACTGTTTGATAGGCATTGCTTAGAAGTTGGCAGGTGACAAAGTAGACACAATTTATTGATTACAACTTCTTTCTGACATTTCGGTATAGATCCTTACACCATTGTCAAGCAAGGTATTTCTCAAATTGTGTCTGCTGTGTGTTGAGGATACAAGTCTCCGGGCTGCCCCCTACCCTGTGTTATCTCCAACTGCCTCCGTGGTCTAGTGGTAGAGCGTCTGCCCAGAGAGCGGAAGGTCCGGGGTTCCATCCCCGGCCGCGTCATACCAAAAGACGTTAAAAGATGGTACTTGTTACCCTGTCTGGCGTTCGGCATTAAGGGGTTAAAGCAAGGACTGGTCGGCTCGGAGTCAGTATACTGTGTCTGAGTGGGGTATTCATGTTAAACTGCGGCATGGTATCTCAGTGTGCTAGCACTATAAATCGGCAACAGTCCGGACTAGTACAAGCAGCCACACACATACGCGTGCATGCACGTTGTATATAAGTGCAATAATCTTGGACGCGACGTTAAACCCCGTTTCACCTCACCTGTGTTATCTCCGCTGTCAACTCCCAGGACCCATGCTGGGGGGCAGGCTGTACCAGGGAAGGCGTTTGGTATTATCAGGACTTGAGTGGGCTTGACAAGCAGGATCACAGTCTGAGGAATCGATGATGGTTTTATCTACTTAGGGTTGAAGAGCTCCACAAAAATCGAGCTTCCCATTCAGTGTGAGATAATTGTCTATTGTTCAGTTGTCTCCCTTCCCTTTAGAGGAAGACATGTTGAACAGGGATTGTGACACTTGTAAAGTGAGTGTCAGTTTGATACAGAGAGTACACATGTCAGTAGAACATCAAGTTAGGAGAGTTTAAAGACATAGAACAACACGTTAGGAGAGTTTAAAGACATATAACAACACGTTAGGAGAGTTTAAAGACATAGAACATCACGTTAGGAGAGTTTAAAGACATAGAACAACACGTTAGGAGAGTTTAAAGACATAGAACAACACGTTAGGAGAGTTTAAAGACATAGAACAACACGTTAGGAGAGTTTAAAGACATATAACAACACGTTAGGAGAGTTTAAAGACATAGAACATCACGTTAGGAGAGTTTAAAGACATAGAACAACACGTTAGGAGAGTTTAAAGACATAGAGCAACACGTTAGGAGAGTTTAAAGACATAGAACAACACGTTAGGAGAGTTTAAAGATGTAGAACATCACGCATTAGATACATTACTCTTGAAAATAGATACCCTACTCATTTATTTGTTGATAAAAACACATCTTGGTGATCCGGTGTCAGAGAAAGTCCTCAGTACCTCATGCTTGTCAGATGACTCAGATGAGAATGGGGTTGTCAAAGTCTGAGACTTTAGCCACTTGTTTCGAAGCCTGAATCAAGTAAAATTCTGTTCAGGCAAGTAAGCTCAGATAGATGAGTCCATATGATAACACTTGAATCAACTTAAAATGTTGCTCAAAGCCAAGTTTGGGCTAAAACATTTTTGGCACAGACTGTAGTCAGGCTCTGTGATTATCGTTGTACCTCGATTGCATGGATTGTTGCTATGGATGCTTGCAGCCACTGGTTTCCTTGTCCAGGATTAATTATTTACATTCCATTAGGATATTACTGGAATAATACTTACTGTGGTGTTTCACATGAAGATAAACATGTTATTTGACAGACTTCATGTTGGGGGCACAGGTGGCCCAGTTGTCCTAGACTCTGGTTTCCTTGTCCAGAATTAATTATTTACAGACCATTAGGATATAACTGGAATATTACTTACTGTGGTGTTTCACATGAAGATAAACATGTTATCTGACAGACTTCATGTTGGGGGCACAGGTGGCCCAGTCGTCTACGGCTCTTTAGTTCTCTGTGCAGAGTTGTGTCCCTTTGGCATGCCAGAAACGTAGGATGAAACATCAGATATTCCCTGATCATGTTTCATGTTTGTCAGCTCCCTACTCGTGCTCACTGAGGTTTCACCAACGTGGTTAACATCTAAGATCTGTATCGCTTGGGGCATTCCTCCCATATCAAGCTGACAAGCCATGATGTATAACTGAAATATTGTTCAAAGAGACGTTGGACCAAACTCACTTGACTCATCTCTCATAGTTTGTAATCCTTGACGCTTGATGTGAAAATGTTTTGTTTGTGTAGACACAAGTCAAGACAGCATAGTTGCAGCACCGGGTGGACCAACCGAGACAGCAGACAACCCTCTACATGTCCTCCATGGCATCAGCGATGCTGTCCAGACCACGGCTGTAGGGGACGGCGTGGGGAACAGACAGCCCAGAGTACGCAAGGTGGCAGCGGGACCACCGCTTCCTGTCTATAAAGGTGAGTTGGTGATACCAGTTAGAGTGAAGTCTTCCTCCCTCTAGCTAGAGTGTAGAACACGAACATAGCGGCAAACGCAGTAATCTGTCTGTCTGAACATGGCTAAAAATCAGTCATCTTGTGGATGTATCATGTCAGAAAAGGTCCCCAGTACCCCACGCTTGTCATGTCTCAGTACCCCATGCTTGTCATGTCTCAGTACCCCATGCTTGTCATGTCTCAGTACCCCACGCTTGTCATGTCCCAGTGCCCCCTTACTTGTCATGTCTCAGTACCCCATGCTTGTCATGTCTCAGTACCCCACGCTTGTCATGTCTCAGTACCCCATGCTTGTCATGTCTCAGTACCCCACGCTTGTCATGTCCCAGTGCCCCCTTATTTGTCATGTCTTAGTACCCCATGCTTGTCATGTCTCAGTACCCCACGCTTGTCATGTCTCAGTACCCCATGCTTGTCATGTCTCAGTACCCCACGCTTGTAATGTCTCAGTGCCCCATGCTTGTCATGTCTCAGTACCCCACGCTTGTCATGTCCCAGTACCCCATGCTTGTCATGTCTCAGTACCCCATGCTTGTCATGTCTCAGTACCCCACGCTTGTAATGTCTCAGTACCCCACGCTTGTCATGTCTCAGTACCCCATGCTTGTCATGTCTCAGTACCCCACGCTTGTCATGTCCCAGTGCCCCCTTACTTGTCATGTTTCAGTACCCCATGCTTGTCATGTCTCAGTACCCCATGCTTGTAATGTCTCAGTGCCCCATGCTTGTCATGTCTCAGTACCCCACGCTTGTCATGTCTCAGTGCCCCATGCTTGTCATGTCTCAGTACCCCACGCTTGTCATGTCTCAGTACCCCATGCTTGTCATGTCTCAGTACCCCACGCTTGTCATGTCTCAGTACCCCATGCTTGTCATATCTCAGTACCCCATGGTTGTCATGTCTCAGTACCCCATGGTTGTCATGTCTCAGTACTCCATGCTTGTCATGTCTCAGTACCCCATGCTTGTCATGTCCCAGTGCCCCCTTACTTGTCATGTCTCAGTACCCCATGGTTGTCATGTCTCAGTACCCCACGCTTGTCATGTCTCAGTACCCCATGCTTGTCATGTCTCAGTACCCCACGCTTGTCATGTCTCAGTACCCCATGCTTGTCATGTCTCAGTACCCCATGCTTGTCATGTCCCAGTACCCCATGCTTGTCATGTCTCAGTACCCCACGCTTGTCATGTCTCGGTACCCCATGCTTGTCATGTCTTAGTACCCCACGCTTGTAATGTCTCAGTACCCCACGCTTGTCATGTCTCAGTACCCCATGCTTGTCATGTCTCAGTACCCCACGCTTGTCATGTCCCAGTGCCCCCTTACTTGTCATGTCTCAGTACCCCATGCTTGTCATGTCTCAGTACCCCATGCTTGTAATGTCTCAGTGCCCCATGCTTGTCATGTCTCAGTACCCCACGCTTGTAATGTCTCAGTGCCCCATGCTTGTCATGTCTCAGTACCCCACGCTTGTCATGTCTCAGTACCCCATGCTTGTCATGTCTCAGTACCCCACGCTTGTCATGTCTCAGTACCCGATGCTTGTCATATCTCAGTACCCCATGGTTGTCATGTCTCAGTACCCCATGGTTGTCATGTCTTAGTACTCCATGCTTGTCATGTCTCAGTACCCCATGCTTGTCATGTCCCAGTGCCCCCTTACTTGTCATGTCTCAGTACCCCATGGTTGTCATGTCTCAGTACCCCACGCTTGTCATGTCTCAGTACCCCATGCTTGTCATGTCTCAGTACCCCATGCTTGTCATGTCCCAGTACCCCACGCTTGTCATGTCTCGGTACCCCATGCTTGTCATGTCCCAGTACCCCATGCTTGTCATGTCTTAGTACCCCATGCTTGTCAGGTGCCAGTACCCCACGCTTTTCATGTCTCAGTACCCCATGCTTTAGAAGTCCAGTTTCCACCCTTGCCGAACTAGGCTGGAATTCCTGGGCTCGATCGTAGCGCCACCAGTGGCTATTACGAGTTATGTCCTTTCTATGCCTCTCCTATTGACCAATCAGATTCAACCTCTCGTATCACTTGCATTTGCAAATCCTACAGTTGACCGAAATCTGCATGTCACTTTACGAACCGGATTTCTATTTCGGTGCGCGTTTTTGATTGGACTATGTATAGACTTGTTAGTCCAGCCAAAATGTAACTCCATAATACCAGCCTAGTTCGGCAAGGGTGGAAACTGGACTTTTATAGTCAATTAACTCACTTGCCTCGGGAAGATAGGTTTTACGCTGCTTTTAGCAATATTCCAGGAATATCACGGCAATGGACGCCAGAAATGGGTTTCTCACATTGTACCCATGTCGGGAATCGAACGTGACGAGCGAACGCTTTAACCACTCAGCTATCCGACTGTCCCTTTTATGTGTTTAGTATTAAGACTGCACGTGATACTGGTACATTGGTAAACCGTGATAGAAACTGTTGACAGACTATATGGATCGGTTTGATGAGAAACTACGTACAGAAGTGTATTTCCTTGGGTATGTGATGAATGAAATAAGTTAAAATTAATTGAAACAATATTTCTAGTACACTACTGCTGTGTGTCACTGTGTTACCTCCCTTGATAATGAGTTACTGATGGCTGCTGAACCTATTGACTGCGAGATTGCCCAAACAAAAGAGGAAAAACCGGCATATGGCTCTATTTTGGTCATATGAATGAAGGACAGGGGAAATAACATAGTATGTTAATGGCAATATATCGCAATACATGTAACAATACATATCATAGTACAGACCAAGGTATTGCAGTACCCGTATATTGCAATACAAAAGTCCAGGCAATCACAGCCCTGTTGAGTATTGTGTGGCGACTTGAGTGACATGCAACCATTGTACATTGTCAATAGATGACTTGATAGCCCCTGATTCAGTGAACAACAACAAATATAACTACGTGTAATTCATAGTTACGTCTTCACCTCGCTGTTGAATAGCTTCATATGTTTATTGTGAAGTAAATTTCATGGCTGTTCTCGACTATAAAGTATTTAAGTGAAACTGTATTGTAAGCAGACACGTGAACAACATATTTTATCCCTCGTCTTTGTTATGGAGTTATCCTCCCTTTGATTATCAAGGCCCCTTAACAGACAACTTATGACATCTTCAAATAAAAAAAGATAATATGTACATTGTGACGTGAGAATATGGACAATAGTGGTAATAAAATAGTTCCCCTTTAGAGGCACAGTTTGAAGTGGGGCGAGGTTTGAAGTATGAAGATATGAAATTGTCATAAATCTGTTTGTAGTTGGCTTGTCACAAAGCAACCTGTCGGAGCTCGTAAACTGAAGGTGTGAGTGTGTTAACAAGACATAATGATCCACAACAGGAGGACAGCTTCGTCTCTGCCTGTCAGGATCACTATCATTGCCACGTACTCCTTGCTCCGACGTTGACAGGTGGAGGTCGTTGTCGGTGGAGTGGCTGTAAATAGTCCCACATTCCTTGTGGTCATTACGCTAGGAAGACCTCTTGGGAGACCTTGTGATAGGAGGCAGTATGTCCTGCTGATAAACCAGGCTAAGATATTATGAAGTTGTTGTTTTTCAATGTTGTGGAATTGCTGTCAATCATTGTCAATAGTGAAGTTGAAAGGTATTCTGAATGGTCGAAAAGTTGGCAGCTGTTTGAGTTTGGGCTAACAAGGGTAGAATGAACACTCTTGCTACAGGTTAATCATATGACATGTATGAGTCAATATGTTATGATATGATATTTTTGGTTTAATTCCTCTTTGAACATAGTGTCCCTTAAACCACTCATGTCAGCTTGATGTGCGGGTCTTAGACAATTACCAATTTGTTAAAACCTATGATGTTTTGTTTGTTGTTCAACGCCACACTCAGCAATATCCCAGCTAAATGACAACAGTCTGTAAATAATCGAGCCTGGACCAGACAATCCAGTTATTGACATCATATGCATCGATCTACATAACTGGGATACAATGACATGCATCAACCAAGTCAGCGAGCCTGACCACCCAATCCCGTTAGTTGCTTTTTACGACATGCACAGTTGCCTTTACGGCAAGCATCGGTTGCTGAAGACCTATTCCACCTCGGATCATCACAGGTTAAACCTATGATCTCAGGTTCATGGTGCTGAAACCTTATCAGGGCATTTTGGAGATTTCAACCCACGACCATAGGGTTCTGGCACTCCTAAGGGATGCACAGCAAATTGTTGCCTCTTAGACATCTGCGACCAGGGTGCCCTCTCTATTAACTGGAGAAATGTTGGTTGAGAAAAAACACCTCAAAGCTTCCAGGAACTGGCTGATTGGTAATATTGGAAAACTGGTTCCTGGCACTACTTGATACTGGTCAGTTACCCTTAGATCTTGTGTCCTAATGGTCAGTCCCTTGTAATGAATGTCTTGCAGGAGTCTTGATTCACTGTGTGCAATTGTGTCCATATATCTGAAGCTGAATTCTACAGACATTTACCGATAGGCTCCTCTTTCAGTCCTTCAACTTATTTACTCTGTGCAATTGTGTCCATATATCTGAAGCTGAATTCTACACAGACTTACCGATAAGCTCCTATTTCAATCCTTCAACTGATTTACTGTGTGCAATTGTGTCCATATATCTGAAGCTGAATTCTACACAGACTTACCGATAAGCTCCTATTTCAATCCTTCAACTGATTACTGTGTGGAATTGTGTCCATATATCTGAAGCTGAATTCTACAGACATTTACCGATAAGCTCCTATTTCAATCCTTCAACTGATTTACTGTGTGCAATTGTGTCCATATATCTGAAGCTGAATTCTACAGACATTTACCGATAGGCTCCTATTTCAATCCTTCAACTGATTTACTGTGTGCAGTTGTGTCCATATATCTGAAGCTGAATTCTACACAGACTTACCGATGGGCTTCTATTTCAATCCTTCAACTGATTTACTCTGTGCAATTGTGTCCATATATCTGAAGCTGAATTCTACAGACATTTACCGATAAGCTCCTATTTCAATCCTTCAACTGATTTACTGTGTGCAATTGTGTCCATATATCTGAAGCTGAATTCTACAGACATTTACCGATAGGCTTCTATTTCAATCCTTCAACTGATTTACTGTGTGCAATTGTGTCCATATATCTGAAGCTGAATTCTACAGACATTTACCGATAAGCTCCTATTTCAATCCTTCAACTGATTTACTGTGTGCAATTGTGCTATTTTATTTCTTCAACTGATTGATCCACAAAACACTGCAAGATATGGACAATGAGCTGGACAGTGATGTATGCTGTTGTTGTTGTGTTGGGCAGGTTTCGCGGAGGTTCACACCGACCCCCGGTTTCAGATGGTGGTGAGGAGCAAGTCCCCTGTCCCGCGGAAGAAGCCCAAAACAACTGTCGGAAAGCTCCAGCGGAAAGTGTCTTCTGATCCACACAACGGTAGGTGAAGGTCATCAGGAGGGAGGACTCATCCTAAAGTTTACCATCATGCTTTGGCCTTCTTATTTGGTAGACTGATCTATTTCTCAAAGCTGTATTGTTGTTGTATCAAAATTAATTTGAAAATGCTAAACACAACACTTTTTAAAGGTACAGTAAACACCATTGTCTCAAAGTTGTCGAACTTACGGTTGTCTCGAAGTAAAATCATGGTCCCTGCGTATTCCTTCTTTATTTATCATTTTCGGTTATGTCGAACCTCGATAACTCTAAGTATTTACGTAGGTCCCTTCAACTTCGAAACAATGGTGATTGACTGTATTGAGAGTGAATTAATGAAAATGAGAATTGAAACTTGCTGTAGAGCTATTTCCCTTCCAATATTCAATTTTGCTGTTTTCTTTTACTGGTACTTTTGTGAAATGTTGGGTTGGCAGAACCGTAAATTGGTAGTCTAGAGTAAAATATGCCTTCAGGTGTATATTAAGTGATATGTTTTACAATTGTTTCTGTGAGTGCTGCTGTGAACAAGGAAGGTGTTGTGTTGCAGATGGCGGCAGCTCCAGTGAGAAGCCAAAGAGACTGAGAGTTGTGGCCCCGGAGAAGGAGACTTCTCAGCCTGGTGCAAAAGGTAGGCTAGAGCGGAGAGACGCACAGGTCTTCTCAGGGATGAAACATCCTCAAACACTATATGTAACCTTCCCATGAAGATCGAGGTTAGAATTGGTCTTCAGCAACCCATGCTTGTCATAAGAGGCGGCTAACAGGATTGGGTGGTCCTTTGGTTTATGGCTCAGTGCAGCATTAAACAACAAACTGTATTACTGAGACATTGTGCACAGAGGCGTAAGATGTAAGACGGACACAGTGGGTGTTGAGATTGTGACATGGCCAACTCAATGTGGCCGTCTTACTCTCAAGTAAAATCTTCCTGATGTCCTCCCACTCTACCCCGGATATCACTGCTGAGGACATGCCCTGTACATGTGGTAATCTCCAGCACATACAACATGGTCTGCACAGGCTCGGAAAAACCTAAAGATGGATACAAAATTCCTTGCAAAGGCCTTGAATTTTCTTAACTAATCCTTGTTTCCTTTAATTTACCTCCACATTTGTATATCTTTTCATAGTTTGATTACAAAAACACCATAGAGTTATCTCCCTGCCAGTGATCATCTGCTACGATTAGAGTCAAATATGTCCGGAACAGTAACAAGTCGAATGTATCTGGAATAAAATGAATATCACTTATTGATTAGTGTAAAGGATATCACAAGAACCTTGGATATTGACAAGTAAAAGTAAGAAAATGACCTTGAATTTGGGGAAAGGCGTCTCAGAAGCAGTGAATCTTATGACTGAAATTCTGAATGCACACCGAATGACACAAGTTGGGCTGTGTTGGTTTGAAGTTACGATCTCCTTGCAGGTATCATCACAACATCGTCGTGGAGGGTGGGGCAGCAGCTCATTCTCCAGACTCTCGGACCAGCCAAGACAAGCAAGAAGTCTTCCCAGGGCAAGAAGTCGGATAATCTCAACCTAACAGGCAGGAAGCCATTTTGAATAGACATTGAACCAGAGTTCGAAATCTAGGGAGGTCCTGGGTCCTTGTGGTTGGTTTCTGTAGCATTATAACCCAGGGGCACCTCCATCTGTCGCTTAGAGTTGTCACAGAGAAGGAGTCTTAGACTTCCGTGCTTAAACTTTGAAGTGTGCTGAAGTACTGGAGCAGGATCACGATCTTCAGGGAACGATGCATTGTCACTTCTCTCACTGGGGCTAAGCTAATCTGGAACTGGCTTTCAAAGTATCAAGATTCAGATTTAGTCATACTGCTGTTGTGTAATGAGTAGGGCTGGGACAAATCACCAACTGCGCGATCCAATACGTATCACGATATCTTGCTCACGATCCGATACTATCACGATACTTGCATGTGCTGTTATCTGTGGTCCATCGCCATCTTTTTTCAAAGACAGGATGGCCAAATACCTGGCACACGAACAATTTACAGTTGGTAGTGTCAAGTATGGTTCCATGGATTAATTATTTACGTTTTCACTGCTCAATTTCACTCGTACTTAGTGTTTAATGTAACATTTGTTAAAGAATACATTGAAGGTAAGAATCGATACTTTTTGCTTAATGTGAGATTGTGATCGATACTTTTATCGAGAAGTAAAACATTGTGATCCACCGATGCATCAGTGTGTCATCCCCCTACTAGTAATGAGTGTTTATTCATTTGGGCATTTTGGGCTTAACAGATGAAAATAAGAACGAGGATGTTCGTCGCCCTGACGGTGCTGAGACACACAACCTTTTCTCCTCCGGCAACAGAGAGGGTGCAGTGGGAGGCAACTCCATCTCCAGGACAACCAAGTTGCTCCCCGATGATGCGAGGAGGATTCTTGATGACCTTCAACTAGAAGGTCAGTGTTTGAAGTACAAATGCTAGAGACTGAAGATCATTGGAAATTTCATCAGAAACAAGGCCCATGCAGCTTTTGAAACTTTTCTTTCGCTCCAATGAACCTGAAACTAATAATTAAAATGCAACATATTGATTGTCTTCTAATCTCATCTAATGGATCATGTATCATGGGCAGCCATGACAGTTCAATATTCTGGTGGGGATTAAATAGCCAATACCCGTTCTAGGATTATTCTGTGCTTACAGTGTGAGACCCGACAGTGGATTCATTCTAATGGAAGAACCGCTGGTTTGTCAGATCCTGATTAGAATATGCACATGCCACTTTCATATAGCTGTACTATTGCTGACTGTAGAAGACATGACCTCTGACCTTTGTTGACTTGTGACCTCTATGCAGATGATGATGGGGAGGGAGAACACACTAGGCGGCAGAGGCTGGCTGTCAAGAGGAAAGCCCACAAACATTCCGGTGAGTTGTAACAGACATGCCACTTTCCCACTTGTGTCTCCTTGCCCCTGAGGCTGTATTTGATCAGTCATTTAATATCCCCCTGGCATATGATACATTGGCGTGGGGGGGATATATATATATATATATAGTCATCATCATCATCTCTTCAGTCTGTCCATCCATCCTTCCGTATTAGTTTCTGGAGCATAATTTGATAAACATGTAAGAGTTTTCCTCAAAACTTGCTACATGGATTAACCAGAAGCTGAAATGGTGCCTTATCCTATTGTTGAGCGGGGGGATTTGTCATCTTTACATGGGATGTATTTTTCATTATGTTTACAAACTGGCATTCAGTTCTCACTCACTCACTTGACCTCCACAGAGCCAGACAAGCAGCAGCCTGCAGCCTCCAAACAGCGCCACTACGACCAGAGCAAGGTGCGCAAGTTCATCGCCAAGCAGAAGGCGGAGCGAGTGCGTCAGAAGAAGGAGGAGGAGCGAGCGCATCGTGCGGAGCAGGAGAAGAGACAGCGCCACCTGGCGGAGCTGTACAACAAACAGAAGCCGAAGGACCAGCCACCGCAGCCACAGCCACGAGGGAAGACACGGGGGAGGAGGTCTGGGGGAGAGGAAGACCCACAACGTCGGGATCATCGGGCTCTGGGCTTGGTGAGTGCTGGAGCTTTTTTATTTGGCATACTGATTTCCATACATGGGACTGTTGGAGACACTGCCAGCTTGCAAAACTTTAAGACGAATCTCTTTAGACACCAATGCATTTTGACACTCTAAGCTATAAAGAGTTTAAAAGGACCTTTGTGTGAAGAATTGTTTATGTAGTCGTCTCTCTTCATTGCTATTGTTTTGTCACATGCATGTTGCACCCTTGCAAATGATGGCACTTTTATGTGCCAAAAGCTTTTGAGACTACAAGGATGAATATGGCTCTTAGCAAAATTTTCAGTAGAATTAGTGTTGATATATGGATTATTAATGTCCCGAACAGATGTTTTCTAAACTTGGGGTTCAGACTAGTGGCCAAAGTCACAGACTGCCATATATTTGTAATGTTACCTATGTTGGCCTTGTAATTCTGTGAATCATCTTTTATGAACACTTCTAACTGCCAACAGTTTAATCTTCTGGTATCTGTTATTTTGCTGGAGACAAATGTCATAAGCTCATTTTCAGGATTTTAGCAAATTTGGATGGTCATTGTCCCATAAATTGGACCCAATGTGAGACATTGTGGTATAATGTTTTAAATTTGTGTATTAGAGCCTGGACTCGGACAAGGAGAATGCTGGCGGTGGAGCAGGCATGGAGGTGGACGACGATGACTCCACCCTGACAGAGGGGACAGAAGAGGACGTTACACCGACCGGCACGCCCCGGGACAGACGGTAGGAGCCTAGAGTTCATAGAGAGTTGCCATCAAACTTATGACCAGAATCTGTAGTTCTAATATTTCTGCCTGTTGTGTGAACCATTTTGACTCCATACATACCTCTATTGATGCAGAAACACGTAATAGTCAATTCTATGTAGAATACTAAACGAGCTCCCGTGTAATACCAATTTTATGACACTCATGAGTAGTTCTGGTATTAAACGGGAGCGAGTTAAGTATATTAAACGTTCCATTTTTAACTGTTTCTAAACTTCACTTTCCTGTGTGAATAGGCAGACATCTATGCAATCCACAGCATAATCCAATTGATTTAATGGAATAATACTTCACACATGTATAAAATTGACACTATTAATTTAATACCACATGTTACAACGTGTGTCATAACATGTGTGAAGCCCATTTCTGGTCCCCTGCCATGATATTGCTGGAATATTGCTAAAAGCAGCATAAAACCTCACTCACTCACTCACTCACTCACTCACTCACTCACTCACTCACTCACTCACTCACTCACTCTCTGATTTCCTCACTTGTTTCATCAGAGACCCAGATGTCCCAGCCCCCCATCAGCTCCACCTGGCTCCGCCAGCCCCTCTCACAGTGGGAGGGCAGAAACTCAACCTCGATGTAGCTGCCGTCCTGTCCAAGTTCTCCGAGGTCGTCAATCGGAAGAAGGATCTAGGTGGCGCCACCTACCAGCAACCCATCCTTGAGCACTCACATCGAACCCAGGCTGACCGCATCCGGGCGGTGAAGGAGACTTCAGCTACATTACAGAACAAGTTGGTCGTGTCTCGCAACATCATGGAGGGTGAGACACAGCCTAGCTTTTCCAATCTACTGATAATAGTACATATTACTGTATGTGAGATCTCCTGCCATGTCAACTGTTGCAAATCACGTGACACAGGACACGCTATCCGTACAAAATGGCCTCCATTCTGTAGCAGACGCAGGATGACCTGGCTAAAGACATTACAACCCTACACACGTTTTGACTTCCATTCTCTGTCAGTAAGCAGCCTGAAATTGACGAATAAAGATTCTTGCCATAAAAGGCGACTATGCTTGTCATGAACGATCTAACGGGATCGGGTGGTCAGTCTCGCTGACTTGGTTGATGCATGTCATCATATTCCAATTTCATGGATCAATGCTCAATTGCTCATGATGTCAATCACTGGATTGTCTGGTCCAGACTTGATTATTTACAGACAGCTGTTATAAAGCTGGAATATTGTTGAGTGCAGTGTTAAACAAAAGTAATCATAAAATATTCGATGATGAGTTTGACAGTAGCCATTATGTTCTGTAGCCTGTCCTTGTCATGTGATCACCCAATGGAGCAGAAATTCCAGTATTGGCACAAGTATATGTTCAGAGGTGGACCCACAAAGTGAACAGCACATCATTGATGGACTGAAGCCCATGTCTTGTCCCCCTACAGTTTGCTTGAATATTTCTAAATATTTCTGAATGTCTCTCAAGATTTAGTTGTCTTCACAAAGTAGCTGATCATAGATGCCAAGTTCGTTTCCAATTTACAGGATTATACACAGGGAACAGATTAGGATATCTTTACTTGGCACTCACATTCTGTATGTTAAAGCATATGAAACAAAAAGGTTGTGAAGAGAATATATCAATTCTAATACCATTTGTTTAGTGTGTTGATTTTCTTGTTTCTTCAGCGGCAAACCGAGGTCTTGAAGTTAATGCCATGCCACGATATGACAGGATCATTGGCACGCACGATGACTACCAAGTGTTTGACAGAAATCTCCCTGGTGAGTTCAGTTTCATTTTGAAAATATTCTTCTTGATAACCTGCCAAGTTATTGGGCATCTTTTAAGTTTGGAAGTATTTTTAAAAAATCTTTTAAGATATTTCAGAGTTTGGTTTCATGCCTTGTAATAACCTTCCCTTCTTCCTTGCAAGGATCTGTAAACTCACGCCTTGTGCTCGGTGAGCGGGATGAGAACGAGGCTGCGACCCGGATCCAGGCAGCGTACCGAGGTCACACGGTACGCCAGAGCATGAACTGGCCACTTCCCTCGGGTCAAACTCTCGGCGCCCGATTCAGGACGGGGGAAATGATTGGGGATATTGTAAGTAGCACAAAGAACATCAGTAATAGTAATCTTGTAACAGAAGGCATGGGGATGGGTTGTGGAATGGTTAGTTGGTGTAAGCCCCCATTGACAGAGTCTCTGGTAACCATAGTAACTTGATCTAGCACACATAGGGATTAAGCGTGATGTGTGCATCAAGAAATATTTGTTTTCTGGGCACCAAATTATTGATCATTTGTTACGAAGTATGAGATAATTCTTTCATACCATGGTCTATTTGCCCATAGTTAAGAAAAGGGTCAGATCCAGGACTGAATCCTTTATCTTTCAGCACAGTGTCCGTGTTTGTTGGTTTTTACATTTGCAACCTCCGTCACATACCAGCTTTTCTCCTCCTGACACACCATGATATTACCGTGATACTGTTCAAGGTAGAGTTGAACTCACTGACTCTATGTTTGTTTTAGGATGCCCTGGAGGAGTCTTCCATCACCGAGACCTCCACCTTCAGCGACATCACCATTACTGAAGACTCCGAGAACGAGTCCATGAACTCCCGCCCCGGACAGGTAACTTGGTCTAAAAAAGCAATGTCATTCTTTAAGCAGAGTGTTTGATGAATAACATGACAGACTCAAGATTCAATAAATTATAAGGGACTGAAAAACGCAGTAGACCTGTCTAATCGAGAGGGAAAATTGATTTTGGGGAGGTGGGATGTAGTGTTGGCTTATGATACTGAAGACACATAAAGATCGGGGTTAGAATAGGTTAAGGGGCCTTCTGCAATCCATGCTTCTGCAACGACCATGCTTGTCGTAAGAGGCGACAAAAGGGATCGGGTGGTCAGGCTTGCTGACTTGGTTGATACAAGTCATCCCATTTGCGTGGATTGATGCTCATGATATCAACCACTGGATTGTCTGGTCGGACTTGATTATAAACAGACAGCTGTCATTCATGTAGCTGGAATATGTCTGACTGCTCCTTTAAACAACCAACAAACAAACATGATGCTAAGGGCCTGGGGTGGGATCCACATGGGTACAATGAATGAACCAAATGCAACAGCCTGGTGTCCCCTACTTGCAAAAGGTGGAGTAAAACTATACTCACTCACTAACTTGAATCACTTCAGCTGAAAAGACCACCTCCGTGGTCTAATGGTAGAGCGTCCGCCCGGAGAGCGGAAGGTCCAGGGTTCGATCCCCGACCGCGTCATACCAAAAGACGTTAAAAGATGGTACTTGTTGTTACCCTGTCTGGCGCTCGGCATTAAGGGCCTAAAACAAGAACTGGTCGGCTCGGAGTCAGTATACTGTGTCTGAGTGGGGTATTCATGTTAAACTGCGGCATGGTATCTCAGTGTGCTAGCACTATAAATCGGCATCAGTCCGGACTAGTACAAGCAGCCACACACACACCCACATGCATGTATGTCGCCTTATAAGCGCAATAATCTTGGATGCGACGTTAAACCCCATTTCACTTCACCCACCTCACCCACCTCACCCACCTCACCATTTCAGCTGAAACAAACTCCTTTAGTGCAGCTCATGCAATGAAAGATGATTTGCTGTATCGACAGTGATTGGCCGTATTCATATTATCTAGTGCCGTGTGAGCGTCTGGTGTCATGGTTTATATGAGTGTTTTTCCATTTTGCTAGTAGTCTTTTCTTATCTCATAGCAAACCTAGAACTAGGAATACAGTGAAAGTTCTGATGTTTTGGTGCAGTCAGCATTGTTTGTGTCCTTGTGTGTAGATGTTGAAGCATGTGCGGGGCGGGGCCAGCGACCACCACCTGCGAACTACCGCCTTCAAACCAACCAGCAAGTACGTGTGGGAGGAGCCACGAGGAGACCCACTGTCAATCATCAACGTCTACCAGCGCAAGATGAAGAGCATGGGCAGGGGTCAGTTATATCCCTTTGGTACTTGTTTCGGTATACTTTGATTGGAATCCAGATAATTTTACATGTTGAGTTGTCTCTCACACAGACCCTGAAACCAAAATATCCAAAAACTCCCTAGGAAATCTACAATAGTTGGAAAGTCTAGATTTTTCCAGTTTCTGAAAATGAAGACATTAACTGTGCTCCTTTCTGTTATATATTGATAGACAATTTACAAGATTAAATCCTACAATATTTTCACTTCTCAACAAGTGAGACATGCAATATTCGTATTTCGATCTTTGCTCTGTTTACATTTCAGAATATTTTTTAAGATGTTTTTCACTACATGTTTCACATCTAGTTCTGGCTTAGATCTTGAAGATTATGAATATTGGACATAGACTATTTTTAGTGCATCTTCCAGTTGATGTTATTTGTAATGTATCATCATCTTCACACAGAGAATGATCGACTGGCTCCAGCACCCAGTCTTCCAAGGGATAGTGCAATGAATTCACAAGAGGCTAGGCAGTTAGCCAATCAGGGAACAATACCACAGACATTGTCCAATCAAGGAACGGCACCACGGATATCCAATCAGCAGTCAGCATCAAGATCTTCCATCAGTCAACAACCAGCATCCCGACTGACTGAGTCTGCCTCTGTGGTCAGTGAGCCAATGGGGTTGACATCAGCAAGGGGCGAGATGCACACACAACCTAAGTCACGGGACCCAGTGAGAGTCCCAGACAGACAAAGTTCCGCCCGAGTTGATGATGTGAGTCGCAGGTCTCAACCAGTGGAGACATCCGTAGCTGACAACCAACGCAGCAGGTAATTGGGGTGGTTTGCGATGTTCTAACAACACACACATGGAACTAGTATTGTATGTAATGTAGTGGCTACTGTAGTGTGGAACTAATCTGTGAAATCCATCTTCTCATGTGATACAGCTTATATCTCAGTTCTCACGTGATACAGCTTATATCTCAGTTCTCACGTGATACAGCTCATATCTCAGTTCTCATGTGTAACAGCTCATATCTCAGTTCTCATGTGATACAGCTCATATCTCAGTTCTCATGTGATACAGCTCATATCTCAGTTTTCACGTGATACAGCTCATATCTCAGTTCTCATGTGTAACAGCTCATATGTCAGTTCTCATTTGATACAGCTCATATCTCAGTTCTCATGTGATACAGCTCATATCTCAGTTCTCATGTGATACAGCATATATCTCAGTTCTCATGTGATACAGCTCATATCTCAGTTCTCATGTGATACAGCATGTATCTCAGTTCTCATGCCATACAGCTCATATCTCAGTTCTCATGTGATACAGTATATATCTCAGTTCTCATGTGATACAGCTCTTATCTCAGTTCTCATGTGATACAGCACATATCTTAGTCCTCATGTGATACAGCATACATCTCAGTTCTCATGTGATACAGCATATATCTCAGTTCTCATGTGATACAGCATATATCTCAGTTCTCATGTGATACAGCATGTATTTCAGTTCTCATGTGATGCAGAAAAAATCTCACTTCTCATGTGATTCAGGATATATATCAGTTCTCATATGATACAGAAAAATTCTCAGATTTCATGTGATACAGCTCATGTCACAGGTTTCATGACCCAGGACATAGTACAGTTTGTGTCATGTATTTCAGACGGGACCCAGCCAGTTTTCGGCCTGTTCGAGGAAGCATCACTGATGAGTCTTGCATTCAGTCCTTCAGGTAACGTACTCATCATCAGCAACAAGCAATTAGACAATTCCCAGTCATCCACTGTTGATAGGAAGTGAATGTGTTGATGTCAAAGTCTATTATGTGATCCCCGCGTCATTCCAAAACAGGGCAGTCGGGTAGCCTAGTGGTTAAAGCGTTCGCTCGTCACGCCAAAGACCCAGGTTCGATTCCCGACATGGGTACAATGTGTGAAGCCCATTTCTGGTGTCCCTCTCCGTGATATTGCTGGAATATTGCTAAAAGCGGCGTAAAACCATACTCACTCACTCACTCATACCAAAACACGTCAAAGATGGTACTTCTTGTTACCCTGCCTTAAGGGGATGACACAAAGTAAAAGTGTCTTAGTGGCGTGTCCATGTTAAAATGTGGCATGGTGTCTCAGTGGGCTGGAACTATAAAACCAGCATGAGACCAGGTTAGTGAAAGCACATCTGCACACACATGTGCATACACGTCACTTAATGAGTGCAGTAGTCTTGAAAGCAGTGTTAGATCCGTTGTTAATGTGACTTAAATCGTAAGTAAGGTATTTGGCAGACTTGTCATACAACTAAAATAACTGCAATATCTATTTGTTGGTGTTTTTTGTCGTCTGCCTAAGATCTCCTCAGTGCACACAGCTCAACAACATTCTCTCTCACTCACTCACTCACTCACTCACTCACTCACTCACTCACTCACTCACTCACTCACTCACTCACTCACTCACTCACTCACTCACTCACTCTTTAAGCAACAAGCAAGCAAACATACTGTGACTCAATCCTTTTATGTTTACAATTATGTCTACGATTACCAACAACAAACAAACAAAAACTGACTGACTCACTTACTCTGTATGTCTGCAGTGAGGAGGACGAAGACCGGACTCCAACAGCCTCCAGACCCAACTCCAGGCCAGGACTTTCACACAACAGTGTCAAGGTGTCAGAGGTCACGGGTCAAGATTCGGATGCTTCTTTGGTCAGTGATGAGGAAATGCTCAGATCAAGGTTATCCAGGGTCAGTATATTCTTCAAGTATTTCTGTCTTTAATTATCCCCCGCCACGAAGTGGAAGGGGGATATAGGAATGGGTGCCGTCCTTCCATCCTCCCGCCGTCTGTCCGTCCGTCACATTTCGTTTCCGGAGCAGATCTTGAAAACCGTACCATATTTCTTAACCAAACTTGGCACATAGATAGGTCTAGTGGTGAACTGGTGCCTTTGGATTGTTTGGGATTTTAAAAAAAATTATTTTTCGAGTTTCCATGGCAGCGACTTTGATTTAGACTGAAAATGGCAGTAGACCTCGTTTCCGGAGCAGATCTTGAAAACCGTACCATACTTCTTCACTAAACTTGGCACATAGATAGGTCTAGTGGTGAACTGGTGCCTTTTGATTGTTTGGGATTTTTAAAAAAATTATTTTTTGAGTTTCCATGGCATCGACTTTGATTTAGACTGAAAATGGCGGTAGTCCTCGTTTCCGGAGCAGATCTTGAAAACCGTACTATATTTCTTCACCAAACTTGGCACATAATGTCATCTCACAGTATTGAATACATTTCCTTTCTTGTTGGAAAGTTCTGCATTGCTTGAGTGTGTGTTCCTCCAAAAGTGTCATGGACACAATTGTTGCATTCACTGACTCACTTCATGCAGAAACACAACTCATTACAAATACTTTAGTGTAACTGATCTTAAACCTACTCAACTGTATAAACACTATATATTCTTGTCAACCATACTCTGTACTTCACTTGCTTGATAACTGTGTCAGAACCTTCACTGAAACCATCGCTCCTAATTGTAATAAAGAAGTTGTTCGTCCATATGTCTCATCCTTACTCATTACAAATTCAGTTACATATTCTATCATAAACTGCAGATGGAAAAACAACACCAGTATTAACTTTTTTTAGTGCTGCAATTAGGCCATTTACATTGCACACAACCCGACATGTCATACTGGCGTGGGATGTGAGTATTTTATGCTTGTTTAACAATGACTCTCAGAGCCAGTGATCATATAGGAGAAGTGTTATAAAATATGCTTTCTGTTTGACTTCAGCATGAGTTACCTCCCCCTGGAGCTGAGAGCCGTGAGCCTGGACGATTCTCCCCGAACACACTGGAGCAGAAGATGTATGCAGAGCTGAATCGCCTTGAGAGTATGGAAGTGACACTGCATCAGTTGACCAGTGTTGACCGGACACGTGCTGTCTCCCTGGCCCAGCAGGAAACTGTGTCCTTGGCTCAGATCCTGAAGGTGAGTTGACCGGTGTAGAGTTGACTGATGTCTGCTGGACATAGGCTTTCCCTGGCCCAGCAGGGCAGTGTCCCTGGCTCAGATCCTGAAGGTGAGTTGACCGGTGTAGAGTTGACAGATGTATGTCGGACATGGACTCTCCCTGGCCCAGCAGGAAACTGTGTCCCTCTCTCAGATACTGAAGGTGAGTTGACCGGTGTAAAGTTGACAGACGTATGCTGGACATAGGCTCTCCCTGGCACACAGATTTAGTGTAATGAAACACAATCAATTCTTATTTCCACTTTCCAGAGTTTATTTTTCAAACATCCACAGAGAGTAAGTGTTTCCCTTATTCCCTGTTCCCAGGCCAGACAACAAACCCATGAGCATGATATGCGTCAGCTCAAACTCCAGGCTCAGAAAGAGGCTTACGAGGCCACCCAGCAACTTGAGGAGACACAGAGACAGTCGGCGACAGGTGGAGGGGTGCCACCCCGGCTGAGTCGCGAGGAGATACAGACACTGAAGAAGGAGGCCATCCGGGCAGCAGCAGAAGCCTGGAACCTAGGACCCTCCGACAATAACAGACGTCCAGGGCGGAAAGACAAATCCAGTTCTCGGGACACGGCGTCAAGGTCAAGGGGTCAAAGTCAGAGATCCGACACTGATGTGACCGATTCCCTGTCTAGGAAACCACGGAAACCTACGTCAGTTTCTTACAGTGTCAGCAAGTCATATGTCAGACCATCAAGGTATGAGAAGCTTGTTGGGTTATTGTTCGCATTAATATCTCTATCATAACGGGGACAGTGTGGCGAGCCAGTTGTATAGAGCCATACCCATGCTCATGGGTTTCAGTTGTAAAGAACAACCTTAGCGCTTCAATGATTGAAAGTATATGTCCACTTATTGGAGTTACGATCACCTTAGCGCTAAGATCCGTTTATACAACAACACCCAGGATCAGTTCAGGCCTTCCCCAACATTAGGCTGGCACACTCGAATAATGTTCAAAGTGGCATTCAACCAAACGTGTTCCCTCAATCTTAACCAGAAGTAAATATGACATTGTTAAAATCTATGGATGATAGTTGAGTTGATAATTAAGTAATGAGGCTGTTTTGGTAAAGACGAGTTGTGAGACCTTGTTCACTTGAACTCCATTCACCACATCGGTTGTAACTTCATAGATCCTTGCAGAATCTCGGTAGACTTTCCTTGTGATAACGTATTTTATGTACTTAATTATTGTTGGGTAAAACAATAGTTATGCAAAATAAGGTCAAGGGAAGGATGTGGTAATATCTTGCAAGGAGAATACTGACTGGCATGTTGTGGTGCATTATTGAGGCTGTGTCATAATTTTTTGGATTATATTACTTTTAGCCAACAGGGCAATCGTACAGTTAAGCTATCACAAGTTTTTAAAACATTCCCTAACACTCATTAGCTTTTGCAAGTCAGTTCGAATTGGTCTGCTGGTCGTAAGAGGCGATTAATGGGATCGGGTGGTGGTCAGGATCGCTGACTTGGTTGATGCCTGTCATCGTATACCAATTGTGTAGAACAATGATTGTCTTGTCAAGACTTGATGATTTACAGACCACTGTCATAGCTGAAATATTTCTGATTGAAGGGTTAAACAAACAAACAAAACAAATGTTCACTTGCAGTGTTAACAGACTTCACTGTGTTCATAGTACAAGATATAAGTATGTAGATGTGTACAAATGGCAGTAGTGTCTGAGTGTCAGGTCAACTTGCAGGAGTGCCGTGTCGGAGAGTGTGAGAACAGCCAAGGACACTCAGCAGGACACCGACAGTGACAGCATCCGCACCGCCAGTGACGCCGAGGGCAGGGACACTTCCAAGACCAGGAGTATCAAGGAGGACATCAGAGGTGAGATGAGACCACATGCTAGAAGATACACCACATTTGTGAGAGCTTTCGGTTGCTTGTATATTTTTGTATTATATCCGCGATATGCGAACAGTTTTTCATCGCTGAATCCATGCTTGCAAGTCATCAGTAAATTGAAATCAAGTCGATGATGGATGATTTTACCATGTATCTGTTGAGCAGATGAGGACTACACAATGTCTTTTGATGAGTCCATGACGGAAGATGAGTCCTTCAGACAAGTACTGCCCTCAGAATCGCACCGGAAAGAGGTCAAGCGTCGTCATGGTGACTCATCAGCTCTAGCTGCTGCTGATGAGACAGGTACTACAGTTTTATAGGTTACCATTGATAAATATTTTCAGAACAAAGAGAAGAGTTGTCACGGTAGTCCTTCAGGAATATTAATGGAATCTTTCTAAAAGTGTCATAAGAAGCGTGAAGATCCGTGGTAGAATAGTTCTTCAGCAACCCATACTTGCTGTAAACGGCGACTATGCTTGTCGTAAGAGGCGACTTAAGGGGTCGGATGTCAAGTTCGCTGACTTGGTTGATGCATATCGTCGTATCCCAATTGCGTAGATCAATGCTCATGATGTCAATCACTGGATTGTCTGGTCCAGACTTGATAATTTACTGACCCTTGTCATATTGCTAAGTGCGGCGTTAAACAACAAACAAATGTCATGTTATCATTCTTAAGATTGAAATTCAATATGCTGATGTTATAATCCTTACATCAAGACTTAAAGATTTAGTTAGTTCTGAAATTGAAATACTAATACTAATTGAAATGAAAATTTGTAGACCTCCTGGACTGGAGTGTTTGAGGTGATGATGTACACATCTTAATGGCTGCTTGTGCTCACAGGTACCAACAGTCGACTTGCCATTGGAGACTTGACATCGTTGTTTGTGGGCGAGGACAACTTCAGTAAGTTCACGGCGGAGATGGTGCGTCAGATCATGCGTGAGGAAGAGCTGCGTGCACAGCACCAGGCGGCGCTGCTGCGGCTGAGGGAGAAGGCCCTGAAGGAGAAGACGAAGGCTGAGCTGGCGTGGATCAAGCAGCAGAAACAGCTGCGGCATCGAGGTCATGATGACAAGTACCCCGAGATCCACAAACAGGAGCAGTCCATTCTCCGGCGACAGAAGGAGCAGCAGGTGGGAGTTCCGGGTACAGAAGTGTCCCTGTGTGTAGAGTTACACTGATGCTAGGCATGGCTACTGGGACGATTTACCCCATACTATTGCAGTATTATTATTAACTTTACGGCTTAATAATTAAGTTAATCAGTGTAATACAAATGAATAAAGTATTGCTGACACTGTCAAAGTTAACAATTCACCTGCATGTCACTACTAATTCAAAGGGGCGGTAGGGTAGCCTAGTTGTTAAAGTGTTTGCTCGTCACACCGAAGACCCAGGTTCGAATCCCGACATGGGTACAAAGTGTGAAGCCCATTTCTGGTGTCCCCCGCCGTGATATTGCTGGAATATTGCTAAAAGCGGCGTAAAACCAAACTCACTCACTCACTAATTCAAAGGGAAGTCACTTTAATATGAAGTTGTCGTAATCCTTCCAAATCAACACAAAGCACAACTTTTAAAACTGAAATTTAAAACATAATTTGTTTTATTTAGAACTAAAGGGACTGTTGAAACTATTGATTGCCATGCATACTATTTACAATCCTATTGGCGTTAAATTCCTATCGATAAGGTACAATTGTTGGGCATCCAATTGCAATACATCGATAGTTGGATATATTGTTACACTCCCAGCTGCTACTGTGGCCTGCACCCTGTGGGAACCATGTTGGAGCAGGTCACCCAGCATTCTGCTGCTTATTGTCCAGGGCGACTGAATTTGGGCAGGCTTGGAGACTTAGTTATTGCATGTCATCATCCATGATTGGTAGGAGACGTTACTGATCAATCACTCGTTGCACATCAGTTATTATTTATGGTGGCTGAGATATGGCTGTGGCTTTCAACCCTCACTCACTCACTCACTCACTCACTCACTCACTCACTCACTCACTCACTCACTCACTCACTCACTCACTCACTCACTCACTCACTCACATTTTGTTATGAAGGAGGAGATTCGGCGCCTGCAGGAGGCCAACAAGTTGGCGAGTCGGGAGCGACAGTGTCTCCTCCAGCAGCACGAGGAGATTGCAAAAATGAGACAGTCAACCAAAAAGGTGAGGGCAGCTAGAAGATGACTTGACAGATTATGACTACTTCTACTGGTAATAATAATAATAATAATAATAATAATAATATTTAAAAAATGTCCACTTTGTTGTCTCATGTATGTTTTACTTTGAACTAGACACTAGGGCATCTGAGGCCGAAAGGTCGACTACATCGGCCAGTGGAGGTTCATACGGAGGACGAAGTCAGTGCCGTAAGTTTCTAGGAAAACAGCTTAAACCCAGTAGTAGGATATAGATATGTTTTTTCCTCAGTCCACTAAGACGCCATAATTAACCATGCATAGTTGCATTCCTTTGGCATATGCATGCCTGAAACCTGTGATCGAATTGAAACCCAGTTGGCTCCGATTATGTTTCGTCCAAAGTGGATATTGTCGCTTATTACAGCTTTCCTCGAACTACAAGACATGAGTGAAATACTGTTCAAAACCAAACTCACTCACTCACTCAGCAGAGGGGTCAGACAGGAGTATGTTGAAGGACTTTTAGATTGTCCTTGAAAGTTTGAGGCTCATGTTATTTATGTGTATTGATAGTTTAAATACATTTTCTGCTCTGTTTCCAGCTGGATGATGTATCGGATGTCAGTGAAGATATGTCACAGCTAAAAGGTGAGGTTTCTAACTTGGTACTCAATAGTGTTGAAATATAGTAACATCATTGACATGTTGTCACAATAAGGTTTGGGTTAAGAGTGTTTTGCTGTTGTATGCAGGGTGCTGGCATCCACTTAAGTTGTTTGACGTTAGTGATGTCATTGTCTTATAGCTTGAATGTTATGACTGTGTGCAATTACAGTAGTTGGTTACAGAGACAGAGTGTGTGACTCTGCTTTTGATTAAATTTTAAAGGGTAACCCTATTTTTTGTGTCTTTCCAGACTACAAGTCGGACTCGGAGGTGTATGGGAAGGACACGAAAACTAGACGCAGAGCAAAGGGAGATAAGCAGAAGATAGACAAGCAGATGAAGAACAGGCTGGACCAGAAGTGAGTCCTTAGTTATGTCTGCTTGCCACATCATTAATCATTGAGAGATATTTTATATGTCTACACTCCACATTAGTATTAATGGACTGTCTTTGTGGTCTAGTGGGAGAGCAGAAGGTCAGTGGTACGATCCCCGGACGCGTCGTACCAAAAGACGTTAAAAGATGGTACTTGTTGTTACCCTGTCTGGCACTCGGCATTAAGGGGCTTAAACAAGGACTGGTTGGCTCGGAGTCAGTATACTGTGTCTGAGTGGGATATTCATGTTAAACTGCGGCATGGTATCTCAGTGAGCTAGCACTATAAATCGGCATCAGTCCGGTCTACGAATAGTACAAGCAGCCACACAAACACACTCATACATGCACGTTGCTATATAAGTGCAATAATCTTGGACGCGACGTTAAACCCCATTTCACCTCACCTCACCTCATTAATCATTGAGAGTTAGTTTATGTGTCTACACTCCACATTAGTATTAATGGACCGTCTCTGTGGTCTAGTGGAAGAGCGGAAGGTACATAAGTGCAATAACCTTGGACGCAACGTTAAACCCCATTTCACCTCACCTCACGACATTCATAATCAGTCAGAGATATTCAAACACTTGTTTGTGACCTGATATGTTGTTATTTTTATAAAATTAAGATCTAATAGTGCGATATACCTTGTGTTGCACTTTGATATTTGGGTCAATCTTAGTAGGCTTTTAGTTCAATGTGAAGGCTAGTAGGAACAAGTGATAGCTTTTCATCAATGTGGCGCCTTTTTAGGTACTTGACATCTCGGGAGCAGAAGCTGCACAATCGACGGCGGAACGCGGAGGAGTTGTTGGCATGGAAACAGCGGCTGGATGAGGAGGAACAGGAGGTGTTTACACTAGAGAAGCAGGCGCTGTCAGTGTGGGGGGATGAACGCGGACCACAAGGGGGCGCTGCTGGCAAACAGGACCGGCCCCCGTCCAGGAGGGGCAGACCGAGGTCGTCGCAGCAGGATGACACAACCTTGAAGAAAGGTGGGTGTGGAGAAGTGGTGGATTGGATGGAGGTTTCTAGTTTAGTCAGCGAGTCTTTGGCCAGCCTTGTGTGAACCATCCTGGAGCAGACAATCTTGTGACGTGAGAAGTCTTTCTTGGGAAGAGAGTTTAAGGAAGTTTGATTCCAATACATTAGAAAACAGAAAATGTTGTCAGCATACATGTCAAAACGATGTTCATTATGTTGCAGTAGTCTCGAAAGACGCTGGTGCTGCTCACCGAGATGAGACAACAATCTCGGAACAGTTGAGTACTGCAAGAGACGAGTCTGGATCAAGGGCTCGTGGCACCTCTTTTACCCAGAAATCTGATGCCATCTCCACACAGATTAGTGCAACACGCACTGAGAGATCGGAGAAGAGGTCGCGAGGTGAGAGGTCAAGGTCGCCAGCAGCCAGTGGAAGCGAAGGGTCGATACCTGAAGAGATTCCAGCTCGCTCTGACGAGGGATCCACATCCAGTCCGGAGAAGAAGTAAGTCAGAATGTAGAAAGTTTATTTGTGAACCAACATTTTTATTTTACTTCTGCAATACATATTGACTTTGTCCTAAATAGTGTCTGCTGGGTGGCCTACTGGTTGGAACTTAGTTCTACGAAGTTTGATTCACCATTGGTAGAATGGGTGAAGCCCATGCTCTTATACTGGTGACATGAAAGCAATGTTACCCGTGGAGATCCAGGTTAGAATTGGTCTTCAGCAACCCATGTTGTCGTAAGAGGCGACTAACGGGATCGCTGACTTGCTTGATACATGTCATTGTATCTCGGTTGTGTAGATTGATGCTCATGATATGAATAACTGGATTGTCTGGTCTCGATTTATTTAAAGACCACCATCATATAGCTGGAATATTGCCGAGTGCAGCGTTAAACAACAAACAAATAAGCAATGTTAAACAAAACTCACGCACTGAATAGAATCTAATTGTGCAATGTTATTTTCATTCTGCGTAGCTCATACGTGAGTTTGGTTGGAGTATTTATTCCAATATGAAGGACATGGGTGTCCCAGTGGTCTAGGGCAAGGCTAATTACTGTGCAGAGTTGCTTTCCCTAGAATCCTTTGTTCCTGGGTTTGAATCTCAGATTCTTTGTTTGTCTAACCATAACCGTGGGCGTGGCTTTCACCACAAGAATCACCTTAGCTTTCCTCCCACCTTGACCCTGAGGTTGATTTCATGTTATCATATCCCAATATACGTGGATTGATGCTAATGATGTCAGTCACTGGATTGTCTGGTCCTGTCTTGAATATTTATAGGCTGCCATCATATTGCTGGAATATTGCTGAGTGCAGAGTTGAACAATAAACAACATGCATGACAAAACTTACTGCTGTTCAAAGTATAGCTAAACTACGCACTCACTCTGATAATGTTCTATAATGTCTTTATCATTTTCCTAGTGATGACACAATAGTGAACAGCTCGGCAGTTGACGACTACAACAACGATACGTTTGAGCAGGACACCACGGTGACCAGTAGGAAGAAGTCCCCCGTGGGGCGCTTCCTCCCACAGGGCAGTTCCCCTCTCCCCTCACCCTGGTCCAGGAAGGGGGGGTCAGAGAGCGAGTCAGAGGACTCCATCTCTCACACAGGTAAACACATCACTCCTGATGTAAACAAGATGATCATGGTAGAAATGCAAGATGTGTCCCCTAACCATGCCAGAATTTGCTAATTGTGATTTTCGTATCAGCAGACCCGTGAAGATTCCGGGGTAGAATAGGTCTTCAGCAACCCATGCTTGCCGTAAAAGGCGACTATGCTTGTCGTAAAAGGCAACTAACGGGATCGGGTAGTCAGGCTCACTGACTTGGTTGATACATGTCATCGATCGCAACTGCGTGGATCCATGCTCATGATATCAATAACTGGATTGTCTGGTCCAGACTCGATTATTTACAGACCGCTGTTATATAGCTGGAATATTGCTGATTGCGGCGTAAAACAACAAACCAACCAAAACCAATCGTATCAGCAGTTTGTCAGAAACTTGCCCACAGATTTCAACCACGTGGTGAACATTTATGATCTGCTCTCTCATTCACATATCCTCACAGAGACCCTGTCTGATGCAAGCGACTATGAAGTTCGGATCCGGCAACTGAGTGATGAGTTGCGGAGACGAAGGAGGGAGGTTGAAATTCTCAAGAAGGACCGCAAGAAGAAGGCTAAGGAACGGATGAGGGCTCAGGAGGACTCACTCAAGAAGCAGATTGAGGTAAACCCTTTACTTGTACAGTCTTCACTCTTGTCATCACTGAACACATAGTCTTTAGGACCTGTGAAGATCTGGGTTAGAATAGGTCTTCAGCAACCCATGCATGCTGTAACAGGCAACTGTGCTTGTCATAAGAGGTGACTAACGGGATCGGGTGGTCAGGCTCGCCGACTTGGTTGATGCATGTAATTGTATCCCAATTGCATGGATTGATGCTCAGGCACTGGAGTGTCTGGTCAAAATTCGATTATTTACAGTTAGCCGTCATATAGCTGGAATATTGCTGAGTGCGGCATTAAACAACAAACAAACCAAATCAAATCAAATCAAGAAGCAGACTGAGGTAAACCATTTGCATGTAATTGTATTTATCTTTGGTTTAACATTAAGCTTACATTGCTCACAATGGTTATTAAGAGTAGATAGCACTTCAGTGACCAAGGGGTCGTTCCACAGAGCGTTCTCTAAGCTATGACTGTCGTCAGTCATATGTTTAAGTAAAGTAGTCGTAGCATCAAGATAGCTTTATGAGACAGGTACCCCGGCTGATCATCTCACAGGGTGTGGTGCGGACTCACACTGTCAGTTTGGATTCACTTTGGCCATGTACACATAATGAAAAAAGCTGAACTTGCTGTGCTGTTGGGTTACCTCCCTTACCCACGCCAGGATCTGCTGGTTGTAGGTTCGATTGATTATGATGCTTCGTCTGTGAGGACTATACCCAACATGTAATAGATATATGGCCTGCATATCTTTGACATACATCTAATAGTAATGGTCGAGTCAGACTATCACTTGTGTACAAATGGACGTGGACGTTAACATAGATGTGCTACACTTTAACAGGCATACGACAACTACATCACGCAGCTGCGACATGATCAGATTGACCTTGAGCATGATGCCGTCAAGGCAACAGTCAAGCCACAGATAAAGCAACCCAAAGTGACGACGGGGAAATCTCCTGGGAAGGGCAGACAGCAGGATGTGTCCCCCAGCAAGAGGACTCCGGACGCAGATCATAATCACTCCTCCAGCTTCGAGGACACTCGGGATGGGACGGAGTCAAGCCACACCTCACCATCACTGTCTGACAGCAGGGGTAGGTTTATCTCAGCCATCTGGGAAACTTTGAGAAATACTGTCAGAATTGTAGAAAGTACAAATTCATTTAGGTTTAACTTCTCATACACGACCCTTGAGTAGGACTGAGATTAGACACCTCCAGAAATATTGTTGTGTATGTATGTTGTAGTTTCACATTGGATCAACATGCAAACATTGAAATTATTATTGTATGAAGTTGAAATATTGTCAATTTATTTGTGTATTTTGTTGAACATTGATGCACTTGTCACATTGTTTAACCTGGCTCACAGCCTATTTCAGAAAGTTTGTGTTTCACTTGAGAAAATGCGAACATGCAAGTGAAATTAGATTTTTTTCTCTGAAACCAGTTATCATGCTTTCCTGCAGACTACAAACAGCTTTGTATACTCTGACACACTCATGTTGATGCTGGTGCTTCTGTTGTTTGATGTTGGTGGTGATTGAGAACAAAACATTACTGCATTTCAATGGAAGATGGGGGCGGTCTGGTAACCGAGTGGTTAAAGCGTTCGCTCGTCATGCCTAAGACCCGGGTTCGATTCCCGACATGGGTGCAACGCGTGAAGCCCATTTCTGGTGTCCCCCGCCGTGATATTGCTGGAATATTGCTAAAAACGGTGTAAAACCATGCTCACTCACTCACTCAATGGAAGATGGTCACTGTTGATTTGCTTCTATTAAATGCTAGGGTTCGATTGATCATTGTCTTCCACCTCTCCCCAGATCTGAAGCTGTCTCCAGTGCAGGAGGACAAATCAGGGAAGAAGAAATCACCGTTCCTCGACCGCATCTCTGAGGGCAGTGAATCCGACAAGTCTGGAGCATCAGGAAAGAAGGCAGAGCCAGGTCGACGTGACAAGTCCGAGTCTAGTGTATCAGAAGTCATCGAGGAATTATCCAATGTGGAGGACAGTGTTGTGTCAGAGAGAACCGTGTCCGGCATGTTCCAGGTCAAAACAGACCTGCCTGCTTTGGCTGACTCGCAGAGCAAACAGAGTCTCCATGACGATGACCCCTCCTACAGTATGACCTTCACAGATGCTGTGTCAGTGAGTCAGGACAATGCCAAACTACCTCAGAGTGTCCACAGTCGCCAGGATGTGCCTGACCAGAGTGTTGTGACAAGGGACAGGTCTGAGGTGTCTGTGTCTGAGCAGCTAGAGGAAGCCCTGTCTCTTCGATCTGAACAGGCAACATCAGTGCCTTTAAGAATAGATCTGAACAAAGACTCGAGTGTTAAAGAAGGAAACAAAGCCAGTGAAAAATCCTACACAACAGGAATACCTGAATCTGACAGCGAGAATGAAACAAAATCTCATCACACATTATCCTATTCCACCACAAAATCCGAGGGCACTGCATCTCGCCCATCCAGTGAGAAGTCTGTGGCCAGTACAAATTACAGTCAGGACTTTGAAGAGGAAGATCTGTCCGAGTCCGAGAGGACACCTGTTCCTGCTCCAGCTGCAGCTCTGCCCAGCATCCGATCTGGCGGGGGCAGAACCGAGGAGGAGGTCAGTGAGGTCATCTCCGCCAGTCTTCCGTCCATCTCTGAGAAGAAGGCGTACAATAGGCAGGACACGTGGGACAACGCACTGCTGGCTGATGTCCTTGGAGGACTGGATGATTTGGAAGATGATGAAGATAAGACGCCCACTGAGACTCCTCGGGAAGCATCACCACCTCCGATTGGTCAGGAGGAAAACAGTGCTCTCCTGATGACAGATCCATTAGCGGACTTCAACCTTGAAGACAAGGTCCTGGTATGGGGCAGGAAGAAGGGGACATTGTTGTATAAAGGCAAGGTTGACTTTGCCCCAGGGATATGGGCTGGGGTGGAGTTGGACAAGCCCGAGGGTGATATGGATGGCACATCAGGGGGTAGGGAATATTTCTCGTGTCGTCCTCAGTATGGTGTGCTGGTTCATGGAAGTGATATATCTCCCCAGATGGAGATAGAGGACAACTTGATGAATGATGTTAAAAGTCCAGACGATTCCGTCACAGATGTTTCTGCTGCGACGGAAACAGAACTTGAAAAGGAGATTCTTACTGCTGCGGAAAATGTTGAGTCCTTTGTGACGACTCCACCACAGTCGCCGAGCAGCAAAAAGTCATGTGACATCAACAGTCTGGCTGATGACATCACAGACCATCTTACAATGTCAATAGTGAAGGATTCGATGGAAACAATGGGGAACATTGCTGCCAAGCAGGCTGCACCAGTAAAGAAGGTTCCTCCTGCCACACTGCCGAAACCCAAACTCCAGCAGCAGACCCTCACGGCTGTCATTGAGAAAGTTCCTGACCAGACCACGGAGACGACAAAGTCTTCTTCTCCAAAGGACGTCAGTGCAGACAAGGCAACGAACAGTGTCATGGACAGTATGCTGAATGAAGCTATCTCACAGATGGTGTCTATCAGAAACAAACAGCGGAGTCGAACAGATGTGGGTAAAGATGCTCCGTCTGGTCAGATCAATGGTCATCTGTCGTCTGATGAACTTGACTCCTTGTCGGCTGGAGGGCTGTTGAACAGCGGAAGGGAACAGAAGCCTGATATCCTGGTGCTTGATGATGGTGCTGATCTCATTCAGAGGCCTGAGTCCCCCATGCCGGGGGAGGTGAGATATTGTTTGCTTTTATTAAAGGTGGATTTTTTGAGTGTATTACTTTAAACATATCAACAAAAATTGCAGGCATATGTTTTGAAAGTTAGCTAATCAAATTCACATACCAATGTGCATCAATGTATGACTGTGTAACATTGTGTGACAGTGTAGCGATGTGGCTGTAACATTGTGTGACTGTAGCAATGTGTGACTAACATTGTGTGACTAGCAATGTGTAACTAACATTGTGTGACTGTGTAGCGATGTGGCTGTAACATTGTGTAACTGTAGCAATGTGTAACTAACATTGTGTGACTGTAGCGATGTGGCTGTAACATTGTGTGACTAGCAATGTGTGACTAACATTGTGTAACTGTAGCAATGTGTGACTAACATTGTGTGACTGTAGCGATGTGTCTAACATTGTGTAACTGTAGCAATGTGTGACTAACATTGTGTGACTGTAACAATGTGTGACTAACATTGTGTGACTGTAACATTGTGTGACTGTAGCAATGTGTGACTGTAACATTGTGTGACTGTAACATTGTGTGACTGTGTAGCAATGTGTGACGGTAACATTGTGTGACTGTAACATTGTGTGACTGTGTAGCAATGTGTGACTGTAACATTGTGTGACTGTGTAGCAATGTGTGACTGTAACATTGTGTGACTGTGTAGCAATGTGTGACGGTAACATTGTGTGACTGTAGCAATGTGTGACTGTAACATTGTGTGACGGTGTTGCAGCATGGCCTGGAGGACCTGGACCAGGACATCTCGGGCTTGTTGGGAATGGAGGAAAACGAATACTTTGATGACGACATGGGTCTCGTCAAAATGGGCAAACCTCCGCCTCCGTATCCTGGGGGACCAGATCAGGGCAGAGGTAAGACAAAACTTATACATGTACAGTAAAACACTTTCTGATGGGACTAAAGCGACATGTACCAAGGATTTGTTAATCCAGACAACTTTCTAAGATGCACTAGAATGTAGGCTGGTAAGTGACTGGATTCACTGCTTCAGAACATGTATTTTTTCTCTGAAATACAACATTTGACACAGAGACACTGAACACATTTGTGGGCAAAGCTGCAGGTTAACAATTCTTTTTTGTCTGTATGACATGAACTCAAGTTATTTTTTCCCAGAATCTTATGGTAAAATTTATGTTTTTCACAAAAACACCGAAGTTCACAGAATATCAAAAGTTTTGTCCTCACTACTTCAGACATCATAAAGCCAAGATTATTTTTATGGTTTTATGAGATTTACAGCTACTGCACCTGGTGTGTCTACTGCATCAATGCAGATGAAGCGATGCGTGATTGTGACATCAAGTTTTGTTGACTGACTCCTGTATTGAATGTTTTTTGTTTGTTGTAGGAGGCGAGGCAGCTGCAGCTCCCCCTGTGCCGGAGGAGGTAGTGTTCGCTGTCCCCCACCAGCAGGACGAAGTGGAGTCCATCGTCGCCAGCGCCATCGACGTGTACTGGAACTGTCGCCGATGTGGTGAACCCATGGATAACGTGGAGCCTCCGGAAGAATACTTCAAGTCAGCCGAGAATGGACGTGATATGGCCAGTCATAGCAGACGTGTGTTTAAGCAACTTTTGTTTGACTTGACAGGGGAGATAATCCGGGAGATATATAAAGATGAGCATGAAGCAGACCCTCTTGCGTGGCAGAAACCAAGAAAGAAGCAAACGAAATATTACAAAGGGTTGTCACCTCCCACGACGGTTGACCATCTGCGACCGATCGTTCAAAGTGCAGTTAGTGAAATCATGGGTATTAATGGGACACGGAACTCAGATAGGGCAGTTAATAAGTGGAATATTCGTAAAAAGCGTGACCATGTGGACAATGTACTCGTGCAGGAGCTCCGAGCCGAGGAGCCCAACTGGGTGAACTATGACGCAGACGAGATGTCGGTGAAGAATCATCTGACAGATGTCATCATGGAGGCTCTGCTGACTGACACTGTACACACACTGAACAAGATCTTCCAGAAGCGACACTACAGGTCACAGCAGAGCTAGACATGTGTGCAAGTGTTGGTTAAAGTGAGAATGTCAAATATCAGAGAGTTGGACAGTGTCACAGCAGAGCTAGACAGGTGCGTAAAAGTTAGAATATCATTGTCAACGGATCCAAAAGCTGTATAACTGAGACAGGCCCTACGTGATGTGGATCCACTTGCTAGATCTTGATCCTCAAACAACCTCAATCTGTGATAATTATGTAGTGATGGTCAAGATGAGAAGGAATTGGAGCAGTAATCTGTTTGATCCCATCATATCGGATTTGTCTGTAATGGAAAGGTTGGAGTTGTCACTGGACTTTTGCGACTAACGAGCCCAGAATCAGGACAGTGTTGCCAGGGAAACGACTCAAATCGTATGAATAGTGGTGACGTTGGAAACTATCAAAACAAAGATACATATTTCTACTTGCCCGAAGGATCCTATTAACATGACAGATGTGTTTGGGGAGTTAGTATTCCCTGATTGGATATGTGACAATATGTGTGACTTGATATGCTGAGTTTGGGCTGGTAACCCGCAGCACACAGTAAAGACCTTGGACATGTAACAGGATGTGGACCTGTATGACAAGTAAGGGTTTGTTCCTGCCCTTATTCTCTTCCTCTGTGATGCATTTGTGTAGCCCTGGTTAGCTGCTTGTGTAGGTTACCTGTACATAGCTTGTATTTATTGTCTACCAGACTCACAGGCGAAGGAGGCTGGTGTGCGATATATGATATATCTGCATGGTATACGGCTTGTATTCGTGTAGGTAAATGTGATGAAGGCGAGTAGCCGATGACTGTCTGTGTGTGCATCCTGTGGGGACTCTGCACCCTTCGGCTGCACAAGATGAAGGATGACAAAGGATGGGTATGAATAGTTACCTCCATCACCAGTTGCAGCTGATGAACACCAGCTGTTGTAGGATAAATTCCAGAAGCGAAGATGTTTAAAAAACCTCAGGATATGGTCAGGACTCATATGACAGAAAGCATGTGTACAATGTCCCAGAAACTGACAGGGATATTGGGCGTTATATGTAATTATAATGGTGATGATCTGACATTGGATCTCCGAGACTCGTGTGAGACGTGCAGTGTGGGTCTAGCTCTGGTCCTGCTTCAGACTGTAGGGTTGATAACATGGAGCTTCCACAATGGCTGTTGAGCTATGTGTGTAACGGCCAGTTTACATCATGCAAGTCCATCTATAGACTTCACAGTCATCGAAATTATTGTTTTTGTATTACTTGTAATTACTACAGGGCATGTGTCACCAGTCTGATGTAGAATGTCATGTACTCCTAGGTAGCAGTAATATGTATCAGGCAGACACAGTGTCTGTCATGTTGTCATGGATTATTCAAGCAGCTGTATATTTGTGACATGCACCATTCCATGAGGAGTTGAGTTGGCGGACATGGCAGTGCTCAATCTGACTGGCTGTGTTGTAGATCTGTCTCACATCACATTCCGTCCTCAGGGCACAGGGTCGAGGGAGGGCAAGGCTGGTGGGTATTTGGGTGTGAGAGCGGAGGGAGGGACAGGTTAGTGAGTACTGGGGTGTGAGAGCGGAGGGAGGGACTGGTTGTTGGAACTAGGGGATGGTTGAAGAGGGAGGGCTACGCTGGAGGGTATTTGGGTGTGAGAGCGGAGGGAGGGACAGGTTAGTGAGTACTGCGGTATGAGAGTGGAGGGAGGGATTGGTTGTTGGTACTAGGGGATGGTGGTAGTGGGAGGGTTAGGCTGGTGGGTATTTGGGTATGAGAGTGGAGGGAGGGACAGGTTAGTGAGAACTGGGGTGTGAGAGCGGAGGGAGGGACTGGTTGTTGGTACTAGGGGATGGTTGAAGAGGGAGGGCTAGGCTGGTGGATATTTGGGTGTGAGAGCGGAGGGGGGGACAGGTTAGTGAGTACTGCGGTGTGAGGGTGCAGGGAGGGACTGGTTGTTGGTACTAGGGGATGGTGGTAGAGGGAGGGTTAGGCTGGTGGGTATTTGGGTATGAGAGTGGAGGGAGGGACAGGTTAGTGAGTACTGGGGTGTGAGAGCGGAGGGAGGGACTGGTTGTTGGTACTAGGGGATGGTGGTAGAGGGAGGGTTAGGCTGGTGGGTATTTGGGTGTGAGGGCGGAGGGAGGGACAGGTTAGTGAGTACTGGGGTGTGAGAGCGGAGGGAGGGACTGGTTGTTGGTACTAGGGCATGGTGGTAGAGGGAGGGTTAGGCTGGTGGGTATTTGGGTATGAGAGTGGAGGGAGGGACAGGTTAGTGAGTTCTGGGGTGTGAGAGCGGAGGGAGGGACTGGTTGTTGGTACTAGGGGATGGTGGTAGAGGGAGGGTTAGGCTGGTGGGTATTTGGGTGTGAGAGTGGAGGGAGGGACAGGTTAGTGAGTACTGGGGTGTGAGGGTGCAGAGAGGGACAGGTTAGTGAGTACTTGGGTGTGAAGGTGCAGGGAGGGACAGGTTAGTGAGTACTGGGGTGTGAGGGTGTAGGGAGGGGGTGGTGGTAGAGGGAGGGCTAGGCTGGAGGGTATTTGGGTGTGAGAGCGGAGGGAGGGACAGGTTAGTGAGTACTGGGGTGTGAGAGTGGAGGGAAGGACTGGTTGTTGGTACTAGGGGGTGGTGGTAGAGGGAGGGCTAGGCTGGAGGGTATTTGGGTGTGAGAGCGGAGGGAGGGACAGGTTAGTGAGTACTGGGGTGTGAGGGTGCAGGGAGGGACAGGTTGTTGGTACTAGGGCATGGTGGTAGAGGGAGGGCTAGGCTGGTGGGTATTTGGGTGTGAGAGCGGAGGGGGGGACAGGTTAGTGAGTACTGGGGTGTGAGGGTGCAGGGAGGGTCAGGATTGTCAGCCCTGAAGTGTTTAGTGTAGGGTAAGGCTGGTTTGATGAGAATGTTGAGGGAGGGTCAGGATCGTCAGCCCTGAGGTGTTTGTTGCAGGGTAAGGTAGGTTTGATGAGAATGTTGAGGGAGGGTCAGGATTGTCAGCCCTGAGGTGTTTGGCGCAGGATGGGGGTTGGGGATGGTGGGCTCTAGAGTATGGTGGTACTGGGGTGTGTGGGTGGACAGAGGGTAAGTTCTGTTCTCCTTCTTTCACCAGCATGAGCCTTGTGTGTCGGGGAAAGATTTGTGTATGCAGTTGGAGTAATGGGATGGTGGATGGAGAGTGGGAGTAGGACAAAGGGGTGATGAATGGAGTGCGGAAGTAAATGGGATGTGGTCAGAGTCCAGTAGAGGTGTGAGGTAGCAGTAGATGATAGAGCAAATCTCGGTATTGCGCCGACCTTTCCCGACCTTGACCCTGTGTTTCGACAGGTTATTCTGTCTCTGTGTTGCTCATCTTGTCTACACCCATTGATTCCAGCATCATGAACACTGTGCCTTATACCTCCACGCACAATGTAGATACAATGTACCTGTAGGAGTGTTTGTGCCAGAAATGAAGCTTTAAACAAATGTTAAAGACGAAACACGGCTATACAGGGCTGTAACAGTTCACCAAAGTGTTAGTAAATAGAGATGCATTGCCATGAATACCTTGTCATCAGGTCGTGTCGATACAATATGATACATGTATGTATACGATAAGTTACTGCTTATGGTATGACAAGAATTATATTAATTCCTGACAGTTGTTCTGAAGTATTTGTTAGTTTAACGGAGTCAAGTATGCTAAAAATGTCTTGGAAGGGCATCAAGTATTCCCACTGATGGTAGAACATGGCTCCCAAATTTGAGTTTCATATATGGTATCACACTGTTTTTATACATTTTGTATCCTGGCTGAGTGTATGGTTGCAGCCGTAATAGTAGAAGTACATTCAGTTCACAAACGGGGTAGCCAAGTGTTAATGTGTTGCCATCTCCATGAAATACCCCTGTGATATTGCTGGAATATTGCTACAAGGAGCATAAAACAATATCCGCTCACTCACACACACATGTCTCCACGAGCCAAAGTATAGCGTCATTGTACAGAAGTATGCCTTCAGTCATTGTATCATTGCCATCAGTCGTTATTTATTTCAGCTATTTATTGCGGTCCTGTTCACATGGTCAGCGTACCTATCCGTGTCCTCTCATGTAGAAAGCTACTTTGTTTCTTTGTTTTGTTTTGAGTTGTTGTGTTGGTGCCATGTGACCCCTCGTGTTTCGACCTGAGTGATATTACACCCCCGACCTCGGACTGTTGTCAGGGCAATGACCTGAGGAAGCCATTTCAGGGCGTCAGAGAACTGAATCCGAACTCCCTCTCTGGACTAATAAGGATAATGTCCTCATGGGCAAACTTAAATCATATGCTAGTCAGTGTTTGATAGGGATACTGAGAAAGAGATAAGAAATGTGTATTTTACGTTAAAGTGAAGCTGCAAATGTGTCATTTCCATGGTAATGTGCTACTTGTGTAACAACATGTCCAACCAATCTGCCACGTTCAGTCCTCAAGTGGAATACCAGGATTATCCCTATCAACTGTTGAGTAGCGTGCATCATCACAAGTACTGGTAGAAAAACTGTAGAGCACCTGTAGACAAACAGCAGTGAACTCGTGACCTCAATTAACAAGCAGAGCAGTCCATTTTAAGGTAGGGAGTTCAGTGTGACTGCATGTGCAAATCATGCCATTATGCTTGACCTCCTGTTCAATTGATGGACTCTCTCAATCTGAGAGAAAGCCATGAGTCATTCAGTGGGGAGAGGATGCAGGGAGGAGGGGATGCAGGGAATGAGGAGGTGCGCATCCCCCCATTTTCCAAATCCCTGATTCCACATCTGTACAAGTCTTGTTCATTTCCAATGTTTGGAAACTGCTAAACTGATAATATATATTCCTAGTGGTGTAAATCAAAGCTGTGATCAATGCAATGTGTATAACCCAGGGCTGTGTAGGATTGTCTTGACAAGGCTATTTTCTGGTTAATGATAAAAGAAGGATTAGAAAGCGGAATATGACTGTAGGGTTCTTTTCCCGCATTAGACACACTCCATAAAGGAAACACAAGTACATTGCCCCTTGTTGCTGATGTACAGCTGGTTCTTGTGTGGAGACTAACTTTGTAGCAATGACATGATGTGGCCATGATGGCCAGGGTTGAATATATCTTCTCATCCTGAAAATTATTGTATAAACATGTTGAGAATTTAATCAGAATGGGTCTTTGGAAGGTGTCAAGAGAAACATATACAGTGTACATCGTTATACTTGGCTGATGTCAAAATTCTAATTTAGGTTTGTTTTGTAGTTCATATCTTGCAAGAAAGTTGGAGCACATTCTTCTATAACTAATCACAGGTCTGATGTCCATATTACATACAGGGAACCCTCATTCATGCTTGCTCCATTATCTTGTTATGTCATCCCAAACTGGCTTCCACAGGAGATGTTGCTTGGGTCAGATCAAGGGATATCTCCTCAGGCAATGCAGCACAATGCTTTGCAGACCATTGTGATGTCATTGGTTACCATGACATCACAATCAAATGACATCACTAATCTCTGCCACTGAAGCTGGGTACCTGTACTTTGTACACACCAGACACTGCTTATTACTGTTTGCAGACTGAAAAAGTGGGAAGAATAGTTTTGGATGGTGAATAGAATCTCGTCCTTGTCTCTTTTGATATCAAATGTCTTGATATGTCATAGAAGATGATGTAACTATGTCGGGCAGTGATGGCATCAGCGCCATGGCAAATTATTGACAATGTCTTGAACTAAGGATAACTTGACATATTTAATAGGCCTCAGGACTCACTGCATGTTTGAATTTTGAATTGCTAAATGTCAAAGATCTGAAGAAGGCAATTGCATGTCAGGCAATACTGAGGTACCAAAGTGCCTTTTGTTGAGGAACAAGGGGAGATAACCCCAGGGCTTGCTGCCGGAGTATTTGTGATTGTTTCAGTGCTGAGGGAGAGACTGTGCTATGGATATTGATAATTCACTTCTTTCAACACACTGAAATTACTATGGGTATTTTTCTTTCCAAAACTTTTGGATCTTGAAATTTGCATACATATATAAATATATATATAAATATATGAGTATTATTAGCAAATGTATGTATATTTTTTATATTTTGATGTACAAATTGAAATTAGCTCATGTGCAAATAATGTTTCATGTACATTAAATAAATCCATCCATCTGATCATTTTTGTGGTGTTTTGTGTATAATTAAATGTGAAGTTGCAGTGGACACAACAAAGAAATGAGCATTCAACCATCCATTCAATCCCTGACTGACAGTGGCAGTCTACAGCAATCGATGACTTTGTTCAGTATCTATCTGACAGCTTTCATACAGTTTGGGACCCATGAAGATCCGGGTTGGAATAGGTCCTCAGCAAACCATGCTTGTCCTAAGAGGCGAATAACGGGTCAAACTCGCAGACTTGGTTGATACACGTCATCGTATCCCAATTGCGTGGGTCGATACTCATGTCAACCACTGGATTGTCGGGTCCACACTTGATTATTTACAGACTGCTCTCATATAGCTGGAATATTGCTGAGTGCAGCGTTAAACAAACCAACATTACTACCACTCATCGCTTGTGTACTATAACATCAGCGTCAGCAAGCTCTTCGAAAGTTCAGTGTAGAGTGAAAAACGGAAGTTATACCTTCCAAGATGGCGTTCTCCCACTTTTTACATATTTACTGTCCCACCCAGCAAAAACTCAGCTGTATAGCAGCGGCCTGTAAGTTATCAAGTCCCAACAATCGGACCAGACAATCCAGTGATTGCTATAATGAGTCGCGAGCCACTCCCTCGACCTATGGTGTCACGCAACCAACCAAGTCACTGAGCCTGACCACCCGGTCCATTAAGTCACCACTTAAGAACAGGATAGTTTGCTGGGGGAGGAGGGATATTTATAGTTAGCGCGTAAGACGGAAAGTAATATCGACTATGAAACCTTCCTAGGGAAGAGACCCGTGAAGATCCCGGGTAGAATCGGTCTTCAGCAACCCATGCTTGCCGTAAATGGCGACTATGCCTATCGTTAAAGGCAACTAACTGGATCGGGTGGTCAGGCTCGCTGACTTGATTGATGCATGTCATCAATCCCAATTGCGTGGATCGATGTTCATCATGTAAATCACTGGATTGTCTGGTCCAGACTCGATTATTTACAGACCGCCGTCATATAGCTGGAATATTGCTGAGTGCAGCATTAAACAACAAACAAAGCAAACCAAATCCTAGGGAAGAAATTTATCACAAATCTTTAAGAAAATAATTTGTCATTGAATTTTACAATCTACGTGGAACGGTTACATGGAAGTTCATAATTCATACGAGTCATTAGTCATCATCGAGTATGTGTTTGTTGTTTAACGCCCCACTCAGAAATATTCCTGGCAGCAGTCTGTAAATAATCCAGTCTGGATCAGACAATACAGTAATTGACATTATAAGCATCGATCTACGCAAATGAGATACAATGACATGGAGTGAGTGAGTGAGTGAGTGAGTGAGTGTGAGTGAGTGAGTGAGTGAGTGTCAGCGAGCCTGACCACCCAATTCCGTTAGTCGCCTCTTATAAGCATAGTGGCCTTTTACAGCGAGCTTGGTTTGCTGAAGACCTATTCTACCCGGATCTTCACAGGTCTGATGTGGAAGTGATTTGGCTGGTGTGTACGAAACAATCAAGTCACACTGGTGTTGTTTGTTTGTTTGTTTGTTTAACCATCTATTACTTATTTTCGCTGCCTCCAAGAAAATCTGATATGACAACTCTTCACTTACAGCAAACAGATGTGATTTAGGTGAAATTGGGAACATACTGAAGTACCAGAAACATTCCACTCTTCAGATCACACAATGCCACAACTGAGCATGTTTTTTTATATCCTCGGCAATTTTCAAGCCATATGACGGTGGCCTGAAAATAGTCAAATCTGGGCCAGGCAAGCCAATGTTAAACACATTTGGAATACGATGACACCAGTCAGCCAAGTCTCAGAGCCTGACCATCCGATTCCACTTTTGGTCGACTCTTTTGAGATTTCACTTTTTGGTGGTTCTTTGACCTTGAATCCAGTGGTGTTGACAATCACTTTCAGTTGCTGCTGTTTATCGCGCAATTTGACACAAATCACAAACTACATATTTTACATATCCTTCAGGTTTATTCAACTGTAAAAACCTACAGCAAGTAATTCAGCATATGCAACAATGATGTCAACATGAATCTCTCCATAGTCCACTACTAACCCATGCTGCAGTCAGGTTCAAACTTCACAGAAATATAATGTGTTTCAACAAACAATCTTTCATTTCGTCCTTTGTGTTCATTAAATATGGAGCAATCTATTCAATATAAATCAAAGGGTGAGTGAGTGTGGTTTTATGATGCTTTTAGCAATTTTTCCAGCAATATCACGACAGGGGACACCAGAATGGGCTTCGCACATTGTACCCTTGGGAATCGAACCTGGGTCTTTGGCGTGACTAGTGAACGCTTTAACCACTAGGTTACCTGACCACCCCATAAATCAAAGAATGACTCTTGTTACCAATTAATCTTCCAAATCCAATCTTCTCGGAGTATACTTGTAACAACCAAGCTGTCCCCAATACCTGGGACTGACCGAGCCTTACTCGCCCACCAAGCAATATTCCAGCTATATGGCGGCTGCCTGGACCAGACTTTCAGACAGGTACTTAATTGTTATTATGAGTCTCAGCCCTACAAGGCATTTACATTTGAACCCTCATCTGAAACCATGGCTACATTATTGGTGACATTCAAATCTCTCTGCCCCAATGTTGAGTTGCCTCCCTTGTGTTGGGGCTTCTGCTGATGTGGAGTAAAATCTCTTTGTCTGGAGAAGTTTCCTCGTCTTCTGTCTTGCCACAGCTTGTCTTCCTCCTCTGTAGACACACAGACAGACAGGTCAGACATACAGATAGGTTAGATACACATACAGGTCAGACACACAGATAGGTTAGATACACATACAGGTCAGACACACAGATAGGTTAGACACACATACAGGTCAGACACACATACAGGTCAGACACAGGTTGATACACATACAGGTCAGACACACAGATAGGTTGATACACATACAGGTCAGACACACAGATAGGTTAGATACACATACAGGTCAGACACACAGATAGGTTAGATACACATACAGGTCAGACACACAGATAGGTTAGATACACATACAGGTCAGACACACCGATAGGTTAGATACACATACAGGTCAGACACACAGATAGGTTAGATACACATACAGGTCAGACACACAGATAGGTTGATACACATACAGGTCAGACACACAGATAGGTTGATACACATACAGGTCAGACACACAGACAGACAGGTCAGACACACAGATAGGTTAGATACACATACAGGTCAGACACACAGATAGGTTAGATACACATACAGGTCAGACACGCAGATAGGTTAGATACACATACAGGTCAGACACACAGATAGGTTAGATACACATACAGGTCAGACACACAGATAGGTTAGATACACATACAGGTCAGACACACAGATAGGTTAGATACACATACAGGTCAGACACACAGATAGGTTGATACACATACAGGTCAGACACACAGATAGGTTAGATACACATACAGGTCAGACACACAGATAGGTTAGATACACATACAGGTCAGACACACAGATAGGTTAGATACACATACAGGTCAGACACACAGATAGGTTAGATACACATACAGGTCAGACACACAGATAGGTCAGACACACAGATAGGTTGATACACATACAGGTCAGACACACAGATAGGTTGATACACATACAGGTCAGACACACAGACAGACAGGTCAGACACACAGATAGGTTAGATACACATACAGGTCAGACACACAGATAGGTTGATACACATACAGGTCAGACACAGATAGGTTAGATACACATACAGGTCAGACACACAGATAGGTTAGATACACATACAGGTCAGACACACAGATAGGTTAGATACACATACAGGTCAGACACACAGAGAGGTTAGATACACATACAGGTCAGACACACAGATAGGTTAGATACACATACAGGTCAGACACACAGATAGGTTAGATACACATACAGGTCAGACACACAGATAGGTTAGATACACATACAGGTCAGACACACAGATAGGTTAGATACACATACAGGTCAGACACACAGATAGGTTAGATACAGACAGGTCAGACACACAGACAGACAGGTCAGACAAACAGATAGGTTAGATACACATACAGGTCAGACACACAGATAGGTTAGATACACATACAGGTCAGACACACAGATAGGTTAGATACACATACAGGCCAGACACACAGATAGGTTAGATACACATTCAGGTCAGACACACAGATAGGTTAGATACACATACAGGTCAGACACACAGATAGGTTAGATACACATACAGGTCAGACACACAGATAGGTCAGACACACAGATAGGTTGATACACATACAGGTCAGACACACAGATAGGTTGATACACATACAGGTCAGACACACAGACAGACAGGTCAGACACACAGATAGGTTAGATACACATACAGGTCAGACACACAGATAGGTTGATACACATACAGGTCAGACACACAGATAGGTTAGATACACATACAGGTCAGACACACAGATAGGTTAGATACACATACAGGTCAGACACACAGATAGGTTAGATACACATACAGGTCAGACACACAGAGAGGTTAGATACACATACAGGTCAGACACACAGATAGGTTAGATACACATACAGGTCAGACACACAGATAGGTTAGATACACATACAGGTCAGACACACAGATAGGTTAGATACACATACAGGTCAGACACACAGATAGGTTAGATACACATACAGGTCAGACACACAGATAGGTTAGATACAGACAGGTCAGACACACAGACAGACAGGTCAGACAAACAGATAGGTTAGATACACATACAGGTCAGACACACAGATAGGTTAGATACACATACAGGTCAGACACACAGATAGGTTAGATACACATACAGGTCAGACACACAGATAGGTTAGATACACATTCAGGTCAGACACACAGATAGGTTAGATACACATACAGGTCAGACACATATAGGTTAGATACACATACAGGTCAGACACACAGATAGGTTAGATACACATACAGGTCAGACACACAGATAGGTTAGATACACATACAGGTCAGACACACAGATAGGTTAGACATGTTAGATACAGACAGATCAGACACACAGACAGACAGGTCAGACACACAGACAGACAGGTCAGACACACAGACAGATAATGGTCATAACATAGAAGGAGGAAAAGCTATCTTTCACTTTTGAAGTTCAGAATGTAGAATTCTTTCAAATTGTTTTATGCAAATATATGACCTTTCCCCTCCAACACCCAGCCCTAGTCACTATACTCACCCTTAGACAGGAGGTTGTAGTTCTGGCTGCAAGTACATAGGATGACATTGATCGTGGGGTATTCCACTACACACTTCCCGCGGAGGTTCTCCAAGACAGACTTGCTGAGGTCCAGCTCATGATACCTACATTAGAGAAGTCAACTGAAAGAGTAATGTCCCTTGCGCTATCTCCTGTCATACAGGGCTGGGATCTGTCACATTTACTACCCAGGTCCCCGACCTATTGCCTGACCCTACTCAGGTCCCAGCTGCAGGTCTCAAGAGTTGGGTACAAACTGTCCAGTCGGAAATTGTTTTATGGACGCTCTGGCAAAGTATTCAGATACATGAATGAACAGATCTGGTCATGTTTATACAGAAGTTGACTAATGTCTCCAGTCAAACATAGGAAAGTCAGAACAAATACATACATGAGTGAGTGAGTTGGGTTTAACGCCGCTTTTAACAATATTCCAGTTATATCACGGCATGTCGGCTTAATGTGGGAGGAAAGCCCGAAGTGATACAGGTCTCAGATGTTTAGCACTTCAGTGAAACCCACGAGCACGGGTATGGTGCTGACAAACCCAGAAACATAATCAGGGCGAACCAGGATTCGAACCCACAATCTTAGGTTTCTGGTGCGCCCAAGAGACGCAACTCTGCACAGCGAATCGTGGCACCTTCGACGACTGGGCCACCAATGCCCCTTCATGTGCACAGAGAGAAAGAAATTAATACTAGCGACTTATAGTGTTACCCTGGAGATTTATTGTTACACAATATAATATGTGACGGACGCAGGTGTGTGTAGTCATGTGGGTACCCAGGCCCTACACAGGTCCCACTGACCTCAGTATCTGAGTTACGTGCCCCATCCCTAATATCATACATCACTGGACCGACCACCCATGCCCCTAGTGGATTAAAGGGAGTACATTCTAATGTAGACATCATATACCAACACACCTGACATCATTAGCCGGCCTGCCTTCAGCCTTCATCAACAGGCGACACCCAGCTACGCCCACCTCCACATACTGCCGTAGTTGATGCAGTACGAGAGGGTCAGCCTCATTCTGGTGGAGATATTTATTCAGGAGGGTTTCCAGAGTGAGGCTCTGATTCTGCCTGCAAAACCATACTCTTCTTAGAATACATGTCAAACAAAAACGGTTCACATTTGACATCTTAATACAAGTATAATATCATTGATAAATAGATATCTGTAATAAACATGCTGGTTGACTCATGCAACCTTAAAATACCGTTAGGTACAACTATTTCACACAAACAGCTTTTCGGGATGGTTTCTCTGACATAAATATAAAGAAAATATTGTTTAGTGCCACAGTCTGATATGTTGCCATGGTTACAGCTACATCACAGCATCGAAAGTCAGGACGAGGCAAACCAGTGGTTGGCATCATGTGCATGAGCAATAGTGGAATCTGTCAGCTCAGTGGGAGCCAGAAGAAGCCACATTGTAATTACTCCATCCTGTATTTGTTGTGATTTTTTGTGTGTTTAATGCGACACTCAGCAATATTCCAGCTATATGACAGCAGTCTGTAAGTTTTGTTTGTTTGTTTCTTGTTTAACACCGCACTCAGCAATATTCCAGCTATATGACAGCAGTCTGTAAATTTTGATTGTTTGTTTCTTGTTTAACACCACACTTGGCAATATTCCAGCAATATGATAACGGGCTTTAAATAATTGAGTCTGGACCAGACAATCCAGTGAATGACATCATGAACATCGATCTGCACAATTAGGATATGACATGCATCGTAAGTGGCGACTAACGGGATCAGGTGGTAAGGCTCGCTGGCCTTACTACCTGATCCCGTTAGCCGCCACTTATGACAAGCATAGTCGCCTCTTTCAGTCTCAAAGTATTCCTTTCTGTACCAAGCAATCCAGTGACTGACATCATGAGCATTGTCAGCAACAAGCAAGGAATGCTGAAGGCCAATTCTAGCAGGTAGGTTCTACGATTAGCTGAAGTTCCCGAGACCTATTCTCTTCTTGAAAGCAAAATATGGTTGCATCTGTTTCCCTACTTTTTTTTGTTTGTTTTTTGTAAAAATATGTTTTACATATTTTCAAATACAGACATTGTACAGTATAAATATTACCAAAAAATAAGACATGTTTCAGTGTATGATTGATTGAGTTGTTTTAGCAATATTCCAGCAATATCATGATGGGCAACACAAGAAATGGGCTTCACACATTGTACCCATGTGGGGTATCAAAGCCAGGAAACTTCACTATTTTAACAAATGCAACTTTCTTTTGCGCCAGTAGACAAATAAATACATATGGTAGTATCATAATATCCAGTCGACTCACTTTTTGTCCATGAAGCTTGCATCAGCATGGGGGAACTTCCATTCAATCTGCCACAGAATCTCCTTTGTTCTAGGGAAGGCAAGAGGAAGAAACGATTGAGTGAATGAACAAAAGATAATCTGCTGTTTGATTTTTGTTTAACAGCGCACTCAGCAATATTCCAGCTGTATGACCACGGTCTGTATATAAATAAGTCTGGACCAGACAATCCAGTGATCGACATCATGAGCACTGATCTATGCAACTGGGATATCATGACATGCATCAAACAAGTCTGTGAGCATGACCACCCAATCCCATAATTTGCCTCTTACAACAAACATAGTCACCTCTTACATCAGGCATAAGTTGCTGAAGACCTATTCTTTACCCAAATCTTCGCACGTCTAATCTACTGTGTTTCAATGTTTTCAATGTACAGCCATGCTACTGTAGATTTATCATTCATATCACTAGTTCTTAAAATTGAAACTATGTCGGCAGCTAGGTCACTATAGACGTGAAGGAGCACACAAATTAGTTGATCTGATTTGAAAGCTCTGATTAACCGATCAGGTATTCTACAATGTCATGGCAGAAAGTGCTCATTTAAGGATTGTCGTGTCAGCAATATTACAGATGTCAATACTGCCTGTTAATATTCAAGTAAGTGTGAAAAACCCTGGACCAGAATCACACTTTCTACATTTATTCAAGAACTAATAAACACAACCAAACCATTTATCTCATTTACAAATTAACAAAACAACACATACTGACATCGAAAACAATATAGTTGTTTCAGGTAACTGATCTTTCTCATAATGATTTCTTTCATCATCTAGAAAATTGTAGATAAAAAAGTTGACGATCATGTGTATTTTCTTCTATATTACCCAACAACAAATGACTGGAAATGTTGAGAGTTTACCTGTAGAGGAAGATTGTGCGATTATTCTTGCGTTTGGACATCGGATATGGCATAGTTCTCAGTTCAATACCCAGGGATTCAGCATGGCGGATTAATTTCATCAGCTGAAATTACAAGGACAAAATGACATGTTAATGTTTACAAGAACTAATAATCATCTGGAAGGTTGGCACAGCCACTTGAATGCCAAGATGAACTCTGCCCATCCAACAATGTTCAGCTTCCTGGATGTCTTGAAATCACTTGAAGCTAGCCACACCAGACATCTAGCCCAGCTGGCCCATGGTGCCAAGCCTCCACCGCAGAAGAGAAAATATGTGTACCTCGATGGTCAGCTGCCCGGACTCCGAGACAGACACCAGCAAGGAGAAATATCTTCCTTGGCATTAGCAGATGCAGTAGGAATCCTTATTAAATTACATAAAAAAGATTCTGTCAGCTTGTATTTCTCTGTTGTTGGACTGGTTCATTTTCATCACTCTGGGGGAGATGGGTAATTAGTGAGTGATCAACCAACCGATTACTTACCGTAATTAAATCCCCTAAAAGCGTAGGCCAAATGGGAAGTAGGCCAATGGGGAGGACACTGTTTACAATACCAAGATAAGTTGTATGCTTATAAATTCCTCAGGTAATACCTTCTGGGTGATGTGTACCCCTTGACTGACAGGATACGACTATCAGCTTGGGTGACCAGGTCTTTGAGGGTGCATCAAAACAAACTGTTGCAAAGTGTTTGCTTGTCGCCATATTTGTAGGCGAGTTCCAAATGACAATTTACTATTGTTTAGGCTCTGTGCCACGTAAATCTAAGGTCAGTGTTAATATTCATTATGTGTTGTCATTTCACTGTGCAGAGCTTGAAGAAGGCATATTTTTTCATGTGTACCATCACTATGGCGGGGTAGATGGAAATTTATGAAACATGATTGACCAATAAAATTCAACCATGATATACAGCAGGGTAAGATAACGAGCCTAATGCCCCAGGTACAGAGCTCCAGATAAGCTGCGTATCTGCATAAAATACGCATCAGAAAGGCAGAAATACGCAGTAAAATAAAATCCAAGCTAAACAAATATGCAACGAACATTTCAGATACACTACAAAAATAAAACTTGTGCGTATCATCAAAATATATTGAAGTAACCCTGCGTATTCGATTAGCAAATCAGCAACTTATTTTGAAATTATAAACGGGCATTCCGTCAACCTTGCCAAACTCCACGATGACAGTTACATCATGATCATTTGCCATCACACTTTCTTGTGGAAGTATCGTGGTATTTTTTAGTATAAAGCTCTCGAACCCACACGACACCAGTTTGCAGGGACTAGTTTTTTAGTGTTTTTAAATATTTAACTTAAATACCCACATGTGTAAAAACTAGTGGGTAACAGAAATTTGAATACCCAGATAGAATTACTGATACCCAATGATTCTAAAATACATGCGTAAAATACACACAACACAAAAAGCTTATCTGGAGCTCTGCAGCTATCTTTCCAAGCCACCCATCACTCATTCTCAGCTGACATGCAGGACGTCCCGTCTTCAATTCCTCTTTTGATTTGTATTACTCCATAATGGTGAGTGAGTGAGTTAATTGGGTGAAACACTGCATTGAACCCTTTTTTTTGCATCACTGCATGATAGTTGAATGGGGGAGCACATCCCAAAGGCATGAAGGTTTTGCACGTTAGCGACATTGGTGAAACCCACCATTGACCAATCAACAATCAATATCAGGGCACATCTGGGATTTAAACCCATATAGATTCTGGAATGCCTAAGGGAGAAAACTCTGCACAGCAAATTCCTTTGTCTTAGACAACTGGTTCACCCCTGCCCTCTACTCATGAAAATATAAAAGCAAATAAAACAAATAATCACATCTGCCTAAACAAGAAATATTTCAGTATCCATACAAAAAACTAGAATTGTCCATTTAAATGTAAAAGGGGCCCATAGGCACTGATAGTGATAGGGCCTGTATCGCTCACCTGGATATTTACGCAATCATGACAAAATATACATTTACATTGTACAATTATATAATACTGCAAATATTTCGTAATCATGGTAATTTTGATTTAATTTCAAAGGGCTGGATGGCAAATCTGACAGCATGAACGTGTACTTGTCAAGATACAAATGTAGAATAAAGATCTGAACTGTTTCCATGTTATGATCCAGGTTCTAAGTTTCCTGAGGCAAGGCTGGACCCTAGGACGAATCCTATTGGCATAAATGTATTATTCTCTTCATAACATACAAATGTATACAATGTATCTGTTTATTATAGGGTGGGGATAATATGGGTTTGCATGCTATGGTCAAGTTTCTAACTCCTTTGGGAGTGCCAGACAGATGAACAGAAGGGCCAGTCCTGGTAGCATATGTGTATTTGTCTTGTTATACTAAGCAATTACATGTATACATGTATATGGTAATAGGGTGGGGATCTCAACTGTTTCCAAGTTTTCACCCAATAACTTAATCACTAGGGGTGTGGCAAGACCCCAGGCTCAATTCTAATATATGATTGTGTCTGTCTCTTTATGCCCGGCAATTGTATATATGGTTATGGGGTGGGGATCTCAACTGTTTCAAAGTTAAGTCTCCAGGCATGGAGCAAGACCCCCAGGCAATCCTGGTACCATCCTGGTAGCATATGTGCATTCCTCTCATTATACTCAGCAATTGTATATATGGTTAGGGGGTGGGGATCTCAACTGTCTCCACGGAAGGAGCAAGACCCCAGGGCCATCCTGGTACCATCCTGGTAGTATATGTGCATTCATCTCATTATACTCAGCAATTGTAAATATGGTTATACAGTTGGGATCTTAACTGTGTCCAAGTTATAACCTTTTTGGCCCTGCCCCTCAGCCCCTGGGGGGTCAGCCCTTCCACTTGTACAATTTTGACTTCTCATCCCCGGAGAATGCTTCCACCCATATATGGTTGATATCTATCTCTTAGTTCCAGAGAAGAAGTCGCTTAAAGCAATAATGCCAAATTACCCCTATTTGGCCCTGCCCCACCCCTCAGTCCCCTGGGGGGTCAGTCAGCACTCCCATTTGTACAATTTTTAATTTTTCCATTTGGTGGTTCAGAAGAAGAAGTCGTTTGAAAAGATTTTTGACGTATGTACGACACAGTATGGCATAAGCTCACCTTGGTCCTTCACCCAGGGCATCTTCGGACCCGGTGAGCTAATAAAAATATAACGTTGTTTCCAGCTAATCAGAGTTTAGACAAGCATTTACCGCTTTTGGTTTGTCATGTTTGATCTTCAGGAAGTCCCGCTGACAACTGTGGTTTCTTCGACTGCCATCCTCCAGAAAGCGATAATCTGAATTTGAAAAATAATTGTTCATAGGATATGTGTTACGGATATCGTTGCACAAAAAACATCATTCACGTCATCAAGACACTGATTATACATTCACCATCATAATAAGAGTGAGTGAGTGAGTATGGTTTTACGCCACTTTTAGCAATATTCCAGCAATATCACAGCGGGGGACACCAGAAATGGGCTTCACACATTGTACCCATGTCAGGAATCGAACCCGGGTCTTCGGCATGACGAGCGAACGCTTTAACCACTAGGCTACCCAACCGCCCACATCATAATAAGACCTTTCACATAATAAGACCTTTCACAAATTATGCAAGATGACAAATAAATATGAAGTGATTTTCTTCTACTTTCTAGCTTACCGCTAAGTAGATGAGTGTCTGTGAATCCCTTCATTGCGACGTGGGCTGTTTTGTTACGACTTCCATCACAGCCTGTGACCACCTTGTGTTTGTTGACACACGGCAGCGAGCATGTGCGTTGATCACATCCAGGACAGCGGTACTTGGCTGGGTTATCTCCACACACCTGACACTGGACTCTGTATAGTCAGTGGTGAAACAATATAACTGCCTAACTCATGTGAAAATTGATCTTTAACTTAAATATGTTTAACAATACTGCATGCATCAAAACAGCACAACATTGGTTCAAAGAAAACCATAATTGGTGGTAACCGAAAGCACAATACGTAATAAGCGCCCAGGGCGCTCTCAAAATTAGAAATAGGGGGCTCTTATTAGAATATTATTTTGGTGAAAAAAAAAGAGTTGAAAGATAAATTTCGTAGTTTATGCTGACAGCCTGAAATGTTTATATACGACAGATATATTTTTCCAGAATTTAATTGCCCATAATTAGGATGTACATAACACACTAGTGCGTATTACACGCAAATAAATAAATCTTTTGTACATTGATCAATTGGAAGGGGTGCTAATTGGGATTGTTCACTAGCCAATATATTAGCAAATGTCGAATAAGATATATGTATTAAACATAATTGAGTTTAATATGATTATGATTTGGAACTGAAGAAGAAGTGTTTTGAAAGAAACATACATTAAAAACAATGTGTCATGACATCACACCAGCATGTTAATATCTAAAAATATCCACTGTCAATACATATGCAGCAATAGTTTGTTTATTAATGCAGGTTGAATATTATATATTGATGAAGCAAGTGTTGAACATCCTTCCATATCCCCAATCTCATTAAAATCAGATCTTAGATCTCGCTACCGCTAAACAAAGATCTGAGGACATCCCATTACGGGTCACGCCAGACCAACCTTGTGCGAACTTTGACCGACCAATGGTATGACCAATCAGAAGGCAGCTTTCTCATGTTTTACAGCACTAATTTCAAATTGGCGACTACACTTCGAAACATATTTTGACAAATTCTCGATTACAAATTTGAAACCTGAACAAAAGAACATTCTGGGATGGCTAATAGATGGTCTAGATTGTATGGATTCAGTCATTAAACCCGTAACTATCGTTCGGAATACCCCATGTTAAAGTATTCAAGGTTGCATGATTATAGACATCACATTCCCACTGTCACTTTCACAATCTGGTAAGCGATGCTCTGATTGGTCGGATGAAAGGTCGTTCTGACGTGACCCCTAATGGGATGTCCTCAGATCTTTGTTTAGCGGTAGCGAGAACTGAGGTCTGATTTTAATGAGATTGACCATATCCCCTAAACCAGGAGATATACCAAGCCTATAATAGAACATGAGGAAAGTGAAGGGGTTTGAATTGGTAGTGATTAAGATCTATCATGTCAATGGGCACGACAAAAATGAGAATCTATTAACTCCAAAATATATTAACATTTTACTCCAATGGCTTAATCATGTTAATAGCCACATCAACAAAAAATATGTTGCACATTAATAATTTATAACTATTGTAAAATTGTGGTTCGAATCAGAAATAAGATCTTCGAATCTTAATTACTTTCCGAAATTAACGCATCTGAATATTTCAGCAGAGTATATATATAACTTACGTTGATCTGATCTCCAAATGTGGAGGCTCAACGCTTTCAGATGTTGGCTTATTTGTGTCTTGGTCTACATGGTTCACAGTCGTGTTTTCATCTACAGTTGCTGGTTCATCTGCAATTTCGTCGACATGGTCCATGTTTACATCCTTTACGCCAACAGACGTTGTCTTATCAGTGTCTTGGGCGTCGAGGTCCATGCTTAATGGTCTGCTTCGGGTTTGTTTTGGTTTTTCTCAAAAGCACGTGTGTACCATTACAAAAGTCAGAAGGATTCCTAAAACGAAATACAGTCATAAATGTACTTACCATCTTTCGAAATACAGAAATGTTTATATCTCAAAACATACTAAGCAATCACTTAGCTTAATTGCGAAACAACATACTTTTCTTTGAGAAAAGTTGGCATAATTTATTACATTTTGTAAATTCATATCGATCACATTCTTAGTTTTGTAACATAGACCACAAAATCAATGACGTAGATCACACGCGCTGCAGAAGTTGACAGAAACATTTATCAGCGAAAATCGATATTTAGCTCTAGTTTAACATAATGGATGCAGAAGAGCTAGCCAATGGCACCAAAGACCAGTGCGTATCGATCCATACCGCGAGTATATCGAAATGGAAGGTATTATGGGTCATGGACACTTTTAATAAACATCGCAGTGGTGACGAGTCGATGGGCACCTGCCAACCAGACAAGGATTTAATCAATGACTGAGTAAATCACGGCCGAAATCGGCAAGAGCGACGGTCGCAATGTACTTCTGATAGTCAGGTTCCAGGCATATCTTCTTACATTCTGTAATTTATCTGCAAAATGGAATTAAGAAGTATTTTGGTGGTTGCTATTTTACTATCTCTGCAAATATGTGAGAGCATGAAAAATAAGACTCTTACCATTGGGGCCATTTTCCCGATGTCCGGAAGCTGGGCCGGAGGAAAGGCTTGTCTTCCAGCTGTTGAGATGGCCCAGGAAGATGTGAATGCAAGACAGGACATTCTACCTGAATACAAATTGGACATGAAATATAATGACAGCAAGGTAAACATTACAACTGAGTATCTTTGATATTCACATGTCATCTTTCTGTGGCAGTACAGTACAGCAAAACATTTATTGATTACACCTCAGTTTATGATGATAACTTCACAAATTACAACTGAGTATCTTTGATATTCACATGCCATGTTTCAGTGGCAGTACATCAAACCATTGATTACACCTTAGTTTATGATGATAACTCTATTCTGTCAGTCATGTTTTATTCCTCATGATTTAATTTTTCTGCAAACTGAGCCCAACATGCTCAATACTGAATTTAAGTGTTATGTCCAAATTAGACACTTTCCTGACAATATGCAGCTTCATGTGCTGTTGCTACTCTGGTTGGTTGGTTTGTTGTTTAACGCCACACTCAGCAATATTCCAGCTATATGACGGCGGTCTGCAAATAATCAAGTCTGGACCAGACAATCCAGAGATTAATATCATGAGCATCGATCCATGCAATAGGGATTGATGACATGCATCAACCAAGTCACCGGGCCTGACTATCCGATCCCGTTACTCGCCTTTTATGACAAGCATAGTCACCTTTTACGGCAAGCATGGGTTGCTGAAGACCTATTCTACCCCGGATGTTCACAGGTCCTGTTGCTACTTTGGGGTGCCTAGTAAATGCCTTGACTGATCCTCTCATTCAATGATTAGGGACTATCCACTGTGGTCTAGTGGATAGAATGTCTACCCGGAGAGCAGAAGGTTGATCTTTGCATGGCCGCGTCATACCAAAAGATGTTAAAAGATGACTCTTGTGTTAACCAGCCTTGTGTTCTGCTTTTAAGGGATAAAACAAGGACTGGTCTGCTCGGAGTCCATATACCATGTATACTGTGTCTGAGTGGGGTATCTATGTTAAACATAGCATGGCATCTCAGTGGACTAGCATTCTAAAACTAGCGTTAGTCCGGACTAGTATCATAATCCACACATGTACATGCACTTCACTATATAAGTGCAATAATCTTGACAGTGAGGTTCAGTCTATTTACTTTACCTAATCATGATTTTGGTGTGAACTATCTCTGTATGAGGGCTGTAGGGTAGCCTATGGTGGTTAAGCATATACTCTTCATGCTGAAGGTCCAGTTCAATTCCCTATAAGGGTACAAAGTGTGCATTCCATTTTTTACGTCCCTCCCTATGATATTGTTGGAATAATGCTAAAAGTGGGTAAAACCATACTCACTCACTCTGTATCAGAGTTTACGCATGTCTGTTTCCATGGTTACAGTGTATGGGTGGCCTGGGCACGAAGGTCCTGTACCAGCTCCTGTATGAGCCACCGACGAAGATCCTTGTTCTCACTGGTTGCAGCATCGTCTCCACCTTCGTGGCGCAGGCAGCAAAGATGTGGAACCTGGTTGTGGTGAGATATCCAGCTATGTTGTAATACCTAAATATAATTTAGTTACAATATTTCTCATGTCAATGAAATGGCAAGGTATGATATTGGCCCCTTTTTATTTTATTTTGCCCACTGGATAATTGGAAGCCAGTGGATATCTTAACCAGCTCTCTGTGTCCATCAATCAATTTACTGTATAAACATTGATGTTAATAAGTATATATTCCTATGTTGTTTAGCACTCTCCATCACTTGCTTAAAAGGTGTTAGGATCTACACCGAAACCGCTCTATTGTAATAAAGAAGTTGTTCATCCATAGAACTTGTCTTACTTCATCACACCAACTTCTAAATGCCACTTAAAGAAGTTACAGAAAACTTGTTAATATTCCTAGGGAAGTTATTGGGCATGTTTATATCAAGGAATAGACCATTTTCTTTCCGACACTTGCAGGTTTTTGACTTATGACATGATGAGGTACAGAAGTATGGTTAACATGGGTCAAGAGAAAATATAACTCTGAACAAGTCTATCCCTACACCTCTTAACATGCTTAAGAATATTATGATGGGCCAAACAAAGACTTTCCCATTTTCAAATATGATGTCAAATATTTATACAAACCTATTTTCTAAAATTGGTTCTGATTTTTCCTCAGCTTGGCTATGGTTCCAGTTCCCCAGCACTTTCCAATCGTGAGAGGTTCCCGACTTTCTTCCGCACCCATCCATCAGCTACTCTCCATAACCCAACGAGGGTGAAAGTATTTCAGAAGTTTGGCTGGACCCGCATAGCAACAATTCAGCAAACTGAAGAGGTCTTCTCATCTGTAGGTTCATCTCTGCTTTGTTTGTTTTGTGGGTTTCATGTATTATTTTGCATAGTGACAGGAAATATAATTGTAAGAATACCCCATGTATCATTGTATCATTGAAAAACGAAAAACTCGCTTTATACACAGCGATATACATGTACAATATTTCCTTTTTCATATTTTTCTCAGTGGTGGAATGAGTATTGTCAGGTTTTGGCTATTTTGTTTTTAAATAAATGTGTCAGTTCTGTCAATTCTTGTTGACACAGTTGAGAAACAACACAAGATAAAAAAGAGAATCTTCCAAGATCCAATATATCAAGATGAGTTGATAAAAGTAAACAGTAGCAGCCAGAGCCTTGAGTGTAAATCATACAACTACAGCTTCAGTGGCAGAGAGATTAGTGATGTCATTTGATTGTGACATCATGTTAACCAATGACATCACAATGGTCTGCAAAGCAGCATTGTGATGCAATGTCATTGTAGTGATATCTCCTAGGAGGCATTGCTTGATTTCTTGACATAAGTGATACATGGAACATAATAATAAAAAAGTCCAAGCAATGGTTAGTATTTTTTTATGTTATGAAACAATAATCATGAATATATGTCGCTGTGTATGTCTTATTTATTGTGTTACACTTCTTTGATTGCAAAAAATGGAATCAAATTATGTAAAACAGGTCTGAAAATAAAATGCGGAAATTGAATTCCAACACTGGGTTATGGATTATGACTCATCGAAAAGTTGGATAATACTACAAATCCCTGTTATCAATTTGTTTGTTTGCTGTTTAATTAAAATTTCAGCTAAAACAAGGCAGCCTATAAATAATCAAGTCTGGGAAAGACAAATCAGTTGGTGATATGATGCATAGACAAGAAGACACACAGTCAACCAAGTCATAAGGCCTGACCATGGGAGCCATTCATATATCTCATATGACCAGCTTTGGTTCCTGGGGTCGTATGTCAAAGCATATATGTGACAAGTATTGTATTCATCCTTTCCTTTCAGACGGTCAAAGATTTGGAGGCAAGAGTGAAAGCTGCAGGCATCAGCATCGATGTCCGACAGAGTTTTCTCACAGACCCTACTAACGCTGTTAGGACTCTGAAGGTTGGTACAGACGAGTCACAGTCTTACTTTCCCATGAACGATGCACACCATGGTAGCCAGGTTGTGAGATTACACATGAAAGAAGTGACACAATGTGATATTATACAGATGTATTTTAGTGTCAAAGGGAATGACAAGGGATGACTTGAATTGTGTGATAGGCGTTTCTTAGAAGTTGACAGATGACAAAGTAGACACAATTAATGGATAACCACTTTTTATTTTTTACTGTAATGGCTACGTTTGAGTATAGATCCTCATGCCGTTGTCAAGCTTGACAGATCTAGACAGAAACGCCTCCATTGCAGTGAAAATAAAGCAGTTGTTATCCATAAGTTGTGTCTCAGGAATGACTAGTACAGCACACAATGGAAGGAGGGTGTCGTGTGACACATGGACCATATCTAGCATTATGAGGTCACAAGTCACAAATACTTTTTTCGGTGACATATTTGTGGTTGTCCATTAGATCAATCTTGACATAGCCATCAGACCTTCATAACTCGAAGCACAAACAGAATTAAGACTTAAGCACCAAGTGACATTATGTCAAATATTTGTTCTGGCTGGCCAACTTGTATGGATTTCTACAAGACAGTGACTGGCTAATCAGATAACTAGTTTCGTTCACATGTTTAGCGAGTAATGCTAAATCTTTTTTCAATATAGAAGTAAATTCTTTACATTCTAACAGTCCCCATCTGTACATCCTTGTTCAGCAGAGAAGTAAATTATTCACATTCTCACACTCTCCATCTGTGATTTCTGTATGTTCATGAATCAGTCCTGTTATGTTACCAAGTATCTGGAGTCAGAGGTGATATTAGATGTTTACAAACTTTCACCTGTTGCCATGGTTACATGTGTTTGTGCGGTCAGCCAGGTATTCTGTGATGCATCCAGTTTCATCATTTGCTATGAGAAACACATGCTCTGTTTTCCAGCGTGGAGATGCTCGGATCATCGTTGGCGTCTTTTATGAAGACATGGCCAGGAGGGTGTTTTGTCAGGTGAGGAGGAAACTATTTGATGTGTTCTCTCACCAGAGTAGGGTGGCCCAGTGGGTTGAGGTCTCAGTTATCCCAAATAATGATCCTTCATCTTACTTAAAGGTTTCACTTCGCCCCGTGAAGATCCAGGTTAGAATTGCTTTTCAGCAACCCATTTTCTGTCGCACAAGGTGACTAATGGGTTCAGGTGGTCAGACTCTCTGACTTGGTCGATGCTCATGATGTCAATCACTGGATTGTCTCGTCCAGAATTGATTATTTACAGATCACCGTCATATAGCTTGAATATTGCTGAGTGAGGGAGTTAACAACAAATAAGAAAATAAAGGTTTGACCAAAGTTGTAAATGTCTGAGACATGCATCACTGGGGCTTTCCTTCCACATTAAGCTAACACCCATTGACATGACTGGAATACTGTTAATAGCTGCATTAATCTCACTCACTTTCTGACTCTGTCCATCCTGTAACAGTGAATGATGAAACTGAGTGAGTGAGTATGGTTTTTACATCGCTTTTAGCAATATCCCAGCAATATCACGCCGGGGGACACCAGAAATGGGCTTACATATTGTACCCATGTCGGGAATCGAACCCGGGTCTTTGGCATGACGAGCGAACGCTTTAACCACTAGGCTACCCAACCGCCCTTGGGGTAACTGGAACCTTGTGTCATAAAAGCTGACTTCCTCACCCCATCTCTCCTTATGCCAGGTGTACAAGGAGGGTCTGTACGGCAAGAAGTACGTGTGGTTCATCATCGGCTGGTACCCTGACAACTGGTACAAGCAGGTGGACCCCAGCATCAACTGTACAGCAGAGCAGATGGAGGAGGCACTGGAGGGACATTTCACCACTGAGGCCGTCATCCTGCACCAGGAGCCCACCATCACTGAAGTTGGACTGGTAAAGCCGAACACCTCTCACCTCTCAGTTCACATTTTCTCACAACTGTAACTACAGTAAACTATGTTTATTATGAACACGCTTATAATGAACTGACCGATATAACAAACTTATTTCTTAGTCCCAGCAATTTGTTGTATATATGCTGTATATATACTTATAAGGAACTACAGTTATTACATACTAAAATTAGTGATCCCTTTATGTTCGTTATGACCGTAGTTTACTGTAGTTGTTAACAAGACCCGTAAAGATCCTGGGTGGAATAGGTCTTCAACAACCCATGCTTGCCGTAAAAGGCGACTATGCTTGTCGTAAGAGGCAACTAACGGGATCGGGTGGTCAGGCTCGCTGACTTGGTTGATGCATGTCATTGATCCCAATTGCGTGGATCGATGCTCATGATGTCAGTCACCGGATTGTCTGGTCCAGACTTGATTATTTACTGACCGTCGTCATATAGCTGGAATATTGCTGAGTGCGGCATTAAGGGGAAGCAACTAGAAGACTGTCAGGATTCTTGGTAAGAATATGTGCCTCCTGCAACCTATGTTTGTTGAAATAGGTGCCTAAATTGTGTAAATGGATCGGATGGTCAGACTCAGGGACAAGGTGGATTTCATGTAACTGTTTCCCAATTGTGTGGGTTGGTGCTCATGATGTCAATCACTGTTGTCAGGAAATGGTTATATATTGAAACCCCTACTCTCAGAATATGCAGTGTTTCATACCGCGTGTGTATTAGTTTTGAATGTGATATTTACACGCAAGCTCTGACATTCATAGTCTGGCCCCCACTCTATCAAGGTTCATACACCAACAAGCACACACAAAGCGAAAGTCAGTACTTCAATTAGCACTTGATTTGACATACTATTCCAAACACTGACAGTAAGACTGATTCCAAATTATTGACCTTACTTCAATACTATCAACAACTGCTGGAATTGTGTAGAATCCAAACTGATTTTCTCCCTGTATGTCTAACCCAGTGAAAAACAGTGCACATACATATTTTCCAGACTGCGAAAAACTTCACAGAGAGACTGAATAAACGGCTGAATGTAACGGATACAAGCCAGGTCACCGGTTACCCAGAAGCCCCTCTGGCGTATGATGCTGTCTGGGCCATGGCCTTCGCCCTGAACAAAACAGCATCGAGGTACGTAGCGATAAACAGTGTCCCTGTTTCCTTTCGTTGCCAACTTCTGTTCTGTGTTTCTGGAAGGCAGGAGTTCTTGTCAGACAGCCTTGATGGATTTAATGGATTGGATGGTCAAGATAAGAGACTTGGTTGACTGTCATTGGGACCTGAGCCTGTAGCCAGGGAAGCCTCTCATTATATTAACCACTTATTTAGAAGGATAATTTGCAGGCCACCATATGGATGGACGATTCCTGACTTAATCACCCAAGCTTGCTGCCAACAGTTTACGTCACACTTGTTCACTGCCACCTGTTTCCTTCACCCTTTTTTACTGCCAGCTATTTACTTCACCCTTGTTTACTGCCAGCTGTTTACTTCACACTTGTTTACTGCCAGCTGTTTACTTCACCCTTGTTCACTGCCAGCTGTTTACTTCACCCTTGTTTACTGCCAGCTGTTTACTTCACCCTTGTTTACTGCCAGGTGTTTACTTCACCCTTGTTCACTGCCACCTGTTTCCTTCACCCTTGTTTACTGCCAGCTATTTACTTCACCCTTGTTTACTGCCAGCTGTTTACTTCACACTTCTTTACTGCCAGCTGTTTACTTCACCCTTGTTTACTGCCACCTGTTTACTTCACCCTTGTTCACTGCCAGCTGTTTACTTCACCCTTGTTCACTGCCACCTGTTTACTTCACCCTTGTTCACTGCCACCTGTTTACTTCACACTTCTTTACTGCCAGCTGTTTACTTCGACCTTGTTTACTGCCACCTGTTTACTTCACCCTTGTTCACTGCAAGCTGTTTACTTCACCCTTGTTCACTGCCACCTGTTTACTTCACCCTTGTTCACTGCCACCTGTTTACTTCACACTTCTTTACTGCCAGCTGTGTACTTCACCCTTGTTCACTGCCACCTGTTTACTTCACACTTCTTTACTGCCACCTGTTTACTTCACCCATGTTTACTGCCAGCTGTTTACTTCACCCTTGTTCACTGCCAGCTATTTACTTCACCCTTGTTCACTGCCACCTGTTTACTTCACACTTCTTTACTGCCAGCTGTTTACTTCACCCTTGTTTACTGCCACCTGTTTACTTCACCCTTGTTCACTGCCAGCTGTTTACTTCACCCTTGTTTATTTCCAGCTGTTTACTTCACCCTTGTTTACTGCCAGCTATTTACTTCACCCATGTTTACTGCCAGCTGTTTACTTCACCCTTGTTTACTGCCATCTGTTTACTTCACCCTTTTTTACTGCCAGCTGTTTATTTCACCCTTGTTCACTGACAGCTATTTACTTCACCCTTGTTTACTGCCAGCTATTAACTTCACCCTTGTTTACTGCCACCTGTTTACTTCACACTTGTTTACTGCCAACTGTTTACGTCATCCATGTTTACTATCAGTTGTTTACTTCACACTTGTTTACTGCCAGCTGTTTACTTCACCCTTGTTTACTGCCAGCTGTTTACTTCACACTTGTTTACTGCCACCTGTTTCCTTCACACTTGTTTACTGCCAGTTGTTTACTTCACCCTTGTTTACTGCCAGCTGTTTACTTCACCCTTGTTTACTGCCAGCTGTTTACTTCACCCTTGTTTACTGCCAGCTGTTTACTTCACCCATGTTTACTGCCAGCTATTTACTTCACCCTTGTTTACTGCCAGGTGTTTACTTCACCCTTGTTTACCGCCAGCTATTTACTTCACCCTTGTTTACTGCCAGCTGTTTACTTCACCCTTGTTCACTGCCAGCTATTTACTTCACCCTTGTTTACTGCCAGCTATTTACTTCACCCTTGTTTACTGCCAGCTGTTTACTTCACACTTGTTTACTGCCAGCTATTTACTTCACACTTGTTTACTGCCATCTGTTTACTTCACCCTTGTTTACTGCCAGCTGTTTACTTCACCCTTCTTTACTGCCAGCTGTTAACTTCACCCTTGTTTACTGCCAGCTGTTTACTTCACCCTTGTTTACTGCCAGCTGTTTACTTCACCCATGTTTACTGCCAGCTATTTACTTCACCCTTATTTACTGCCAGGTGTTTACTTCACACTTGTTTACTGCAAGCTGTTTACTTCACCCTTGTTTACTGCCAGCTGTTTACTTCACCCTTGTTTACTGCCAGCTATTTACTTCACACTTGTTTACTGCCAGGTGTTTACTTCACACTTGTTTACTGCAAGCTGTTTACTTCACCCTTGTTTACTGCCAGCTGTTTACTTCACCCTTGTTTACTGCCAGCTATTTACTTCACACTTGTTTACTGCCAACTGTTACTTCACCCATGTTTACTGCCAGCTGTTTACTTCACCCTTGTTTACTGCCAGCTATTTACTTCACCCTTGTTTACTGCCAGCTGTTTACTTCACACTTGTTTACTGCCAGCTGTTTACTTCACCTATGTTTACTGCCAGCTGTTTACTTCACACTTGTTCACTGTCAGCTATTAACTTCACCCTTGTTTATTGCCAGCTGTTTACTTCACCCTTGTTTACTGCCAGCTGTTTACTTCACCCTTGTTTACTGCCAACTGTTTACTTCACCCATGTTTACTGCCAGCTATTTACTTCACCCTTGTTCACTGTCAGCTGTTAACTTTACCCTTGTTCACTGTCAGCTGTTGACTTCACCCATGTTTACTGTCAGTTGTTTACTTCACCCTTGTTTACTGCCAGCTGTTTACTTCACCCTTGTTTACTGCCAGCTGTTTACGTCATCCATGTTTACTGTCAGTTGTTTACTTCACCCATGTTTACTGCCAGCTATTTACTTCACCCTTGTTTACTGCCAGCTGTTTACCTCACCCATGTTTACTGCCAGCTGTTTACTTCACACTTGTTTACTGCCAGCTGTTTACTTCACCCTTGTTTACTGCCAGCTGTTTACTTCACCCTTGTTTACTCCCAGCTGTTTACTTCACCCTTGTTTACTCCCAGCTGTTTACTTCACCATGCTGTATTTGCCAGGTTGGCAGAGAAGGGCATGAAGCTGGAGGACTTTGACTACTACAACAAGAAGATCACTAACGAGATCTACTCCGCCATGAACACCACCAAGTTCCTCGGAGTGTCGGTCAGTAAGCAGCATGTATCTCCCTGCTACATTCGTCAAAACACTCAACAAAACACCAAATTTAACTAGATCGGAATCTGAAAATAATATGAATAATTAAATATATTTGTCAGCGTATGATACACACAACTAATTCTTGGATACAGCTTTGGAGAATAAATGCTCTCTTGCGTACGATTTGCAGTTAAAAGCTATATTGTTGTGGCCACACCAGAAACCTATGATTGTGCTTTCGAATCCCGGTTCGCCCCAATTATGTTTCTAGGTTTGTCAGCACCATACCAGTGCTCGTGGGTTTCACCAAAGTGTTAAACGACTGAGACCTGCATTACTTCAGGCTTTCCTCCCACATTAAGCTGACACACTGTGATATAACTGGAATACAGTTCAAAGTGGCGTTAATCCAAACTCACTCAATCTTAAGAAATCACTTGCTTCACATATTACATATATCCAGGGGTCCGGAAACCGTCATATGCGCCGGACATGTCCGATTGGGAATCTCAAATGTCCGGTTTAAATATTGCTTACCGGACATTTAATTTTTTCTGTCCGGACATTTTAAAAAGTATTGTCCGGACATTCTTAAATTTTGATCGGACATGATCAACAGTTAGGACTGAGCAGTTTCTGTCTGCAGTTGTAACACAGGGGTCCGGAAAATTTAAAATCCACACATTACACACTAAACACATGACACACATATCTCAAACGCATCACATGTTACACAATAATCACGCATGACACATATATCACAGACATATCACACATGACACACTAATCATACCTGACACATATATTACAAACATATTACACACTAATCACACATGACACACATATCTCAAACGCATCACATGTTACACACTAATCACGCATGACACATATATCACAGACATATCACACATGACACACTAATCACACATGACACACATATCACAAACATATCACACATTACACACTAATCACACCTGACACATATATTACAAACATATTACACACTAAACACATGACACACATATCTCAAACGCATCACATGTTACACAATAATCACGCATGACACATATATCACAGACATATCACACATGACACACTAATCATACCTGACACATATATTACAAACATATTACACACTAATCACACATGACACACATATCTCAAACGCATCACATGTTACACACTAATCACGCATGACACATATATCACAGACATATCACACATGACACACTAATCACACATGACACACATATCACAAACATATCACACATTACACACTAATCACACCTGACACATATATTACAAACATATTACACACTAATCACACATGACACACATATCTCAAACGCATCACATGTTACACACTAATCACGCAGAACACATATATCACAGACATATCACACATGACACACTAATCACACATGACACACATACCACAAACATATCACACATTACACACTAATCATTCCTGACACATATATTACAAACATATTACACACTAATCACACATGACACACATATCTCAAACGCATCACATGTTACACACTAATCACGCATGACACATATATTACAGACATATCACACATGACACACTAATCACACATGACACACATATCACAAACATATCACACATTACACACTAATCACACCTGACACATATATTACAAACATATTACACACTAATCACACATGACACACATATCTCAAACGCATCACATGTTACATAATAATCATGCATGACACATATATCACAGACATATCACACATCACACCCTAATCACACGCTGTTTGTGTGTACTGTTTCAGGGCAACGTGGCCTTCTCTTCCCAAGGAGACAGAATAGCCTGGACACAGATAGAGCAGATGATCAGTGAGTGACGCACATCACGACAAGTATAGTTTGATTATATTACTGTAAGGGCATTATCATTTGCAGAAGCCCGTTGTCTTCCATTAACTGCCCAACGAAGGAGGCCAGTTGAAAAGACCAAGGGTTTCTGCAAATGATAAGGCCCTGAACAATAGCTGTTGATACATGTCATCGTATTCCAATTGCGTAGATCGATGCTCATGATGTCAATCACTGACTTCATTATTTACAAACCTCCGTCACATAGCTGGAATATTGCTGATTGCAACATTAAACAAACAATCAAACAAACACTCACTCGATGACAACATATGACTGTTGTATAGATGATGAACATTATTACATTCTGCTCCGTGAACATCCGGGGTAGAATAGGTCTTCAGCAACCCATGCTTGCTATAAATAGTGACTATGCTTGTCGACTAACAGGATTGGATGGTCAGGCTTTTCTGACTTGGTTGATGCATGTCATCATATCCCAATTGCGTGGATTGATGGCTGTGGTGTCAATCAATGGATTTTCTGGTCCAGACTCGATTATTCTAAGACCGCTGTCATAAAGCTGGAATAGTTTCTGAGTGTGGCGTTAAACAACAAACAAACAAAGAAAAAAATTGTTTTCATTCAATGACAAATATTTTTTTTCAAATGTGTGTATATCACCCCTAGATATGAAAATGCTTAAAATGAATGTGAAATGTTTCAGATGGGACATACTACAAGCTGGGCTACTATGATTCCATGGCTGACAATTTGACGTGGTTCGACAGGGAGAAATGGATAGGTACAGACTGGTGGCTGACAGTCAAGAAATTGTTCTCATTATAAAGTTCTCATGCACCTTCAGTAAAATTATTTCTAAATCCTACATGTAAACTCTTCCACTATTTCCAGAGAGCTGAAAAGTCATATCAAGATTTTCAAGTTTGTTAATTTGCCTCTACAAGATGTTCAAAGCTACTTGAGATATTAATGCATCTAACAGTTTGTGACACTCTGACAACACTGCTGGTATATCGTATGCTGCACTGACTACACTGTATCATGTGCTGTGTGGTATTTTAGGAGGAAAGTCGCCACCTGACCGGACAAAGGTCATCGACCATCTGCGTGTCGTGTCGAAGATGTTATACTTTGCGATGTGCGCCCTTGCTGCTGTTGGCATCATCGTTGGGAGCGTCTGTCTCGCCTTCAACTACACCAACAGGCACAGACGGTGAGGGGCTGGTTGTAACCTTTAAGTTCAAAATCTACAGTTACGACAACATTTACTACGTCTATACTTTGTCCTCTCTACTCGCTCCAGCCCTGTTATCTGTCACTATTATCTATCCCAGTACTGACTTGGGCAGAGGCCAATCTTCTAGCACTCACCCACCACCTGTCTTTCCTGCTTGAGGAAAGACAGCTGTCTCAGGTCAAAAGCCCACCCCATTTTAGAAAAAAGAGGTTCATGATCAGTGAGTTGGAGTGGTTACTTTTGATCCACAAGTTTTACACAACAGAGATGGGGTCACTAGTGTGTAATAGCCCATGCCCTAACTTTTGATAAAGCAATCAGTTTATTAGGCTAGTGACTGAGGTGAATGGGTTTCGTCATCCTGTTCAAGATTATTGCACCTGTGCATGCATGTGTGTGTGTGTGTGTGCATGCATATTTGTGTGCTTGTGTCTGTTTGCTTTACTTGTCCGGACAAATGTCCATTTTAAAATGCTTCAGTTTACCACGGATCCCCCACCCAGACACAGTATACTGATTCTGAGTCAACCTTGTTTTATCCCCTTAACGCCAAATACCAGGCAGGGTAACAACAAGTACCATCTTATTACATGGTCACAGCAAAAACACTTTGTAATAATAACAAAATAAAAACATTTCTTATTTCACTGTGACGTTCACACGACCTGTCCTGTTGTAATATTATACACTATTTACTGAGTGGAGACTATAAATAGTTACATAGATGAAAGAGACAAGGCATAGAAAATATTATTATAGGTCTGTGAAGAGGGCACCTGCTCCGACAGTGCTTGTTCTCTAGTAATGTATTGCTATTGAAGAAACTGTCCACTCAGAATGTTTCCTTAATGCAAACGAAAACCTGCAGAAATATCTTGCAGAATCTTCTTCAAGAAAGGGAGATAACTCAGTAGTCATTCTGAGTGCATACCACTAGAAAATAAAGTTAACATTATACAGTTATACAGAGTGTTATATGGATTACAGGTGCGTGGCATTGTCCCAGCCCAGCATCAACAGTCTCACCGTGATCGGCTGCATGCTGTGTCTCTTCTGTATCTTCCTCCTTGGACTTGATGGGAAGTTTGTATCAGCACAGAGCTATCCTGTCATTTGCCAGGTGAGATTCTGTAACTGGATCAGGGATCCATTGCACAAAGTGATCATAGGGCTATGACAATCGTAACTCCCATACTTTAACATATATTTACAATCGTCATAGGGCTATGACAATCGTAACTTCCATACTTTAACATATATTTACAATGGTCGTAGTGCTACGACAATCGTAACTCCCATTCTTTAACATATATTTACAATGGTCGTAGTGCTACGACAATCGTAACTCCCATTCTTTAACATATATTAACAATGGTCGTAGTGCTACGACAATCGTAACTCCCATTCTTTAACATATATTTACAATGGTCGTAGTGCTACGACAATCGTAACTCCCATTCTTTAACATATATTTACAATCGTCATAGTGCTCACAACATCTTTGTGGAAGGAGGCCAGTGGGTTAATCTAGGCTTCCTAGGGGCTAGTGTTTGTCAGTTAGTCTTGACAAAAATAGTTTGTCTGATTTATGTATGAATTTAACAAACAGAATTAAGAAAAGCTGAGTACTGTATTTCCTCTTAGACATTGGATCTCCAATTCAAATCAGCCTGTAAGTAACGCTGGCTACTACGCTCTGTAAAAAAAAATAAAAGCCATGCCTTAATTAGACCCCGGGTCCATCATTTTTATTAAATTAAAGATCCCTATCACATTAACCTACAGCATGCAATGAATACTCCCTTCACTTTATGGTGTACCTGCAAATGTAGTCTTTCCATGACTGTAGAATTTGGTAAGTTAGTGAATTACCAATGTGCCAGCATTAAACAGAATAGATGCCATGTCTCTAACAGATGCAAGAGAAAAGGCTTGCTTGAAATTAATAGATTCCTGGGCTTCTTATACAGGAAATATGGTCCTTTGTTTCTGAGGAATAGATATATTGCCACTTACTATCAGGAAATATATGTAAGAGTGTAGAGTGACGTGGATGTTGTTGTTGTGCAGGTGGAGGCATGGCTGCTGTCGGTGGGGTTCACGCTGGGATACGGGAGCATGTTCTCAAAGATCTGGACAGTGCATCAGCTCACAACGTCACGCAAGAAGGATCGAAAAGTGAGACATTCCTACCCTTAGTTAGTGTTTGGAGTCGATAAGTAAGTGAAGGGGTGTACTTCTTCCTGAGGCAAGGGAGTTAACTGACTATAAAAATCCAGTTCCCACCCTTGCCAAACTGGGCTAGCTGGTATTCCGGAGTTACATTTTGGCTGGACTAACAAGTCTTTGCAAAGTCCAATCAAAACCACCAAACGCACTACATGGATTTCAATGTGCAGATGTCGGTCGACTGCAGTATTTACAAAGCGTGTGTACCGCCAGTTGGGCATCGACAGATGTTTTGAAAATCTTTACATTTTTTTTAATCTAGGTGCTCACATAATTTGAGGCAATTTGCAGTTTTATAACAAAATAGATCATATTTATCAGTCAGATCATTTTGACTGGGTGCTGTCATTTTGTTTGAAGCAAATGCAAGTTATGTGAGAATCTGATTGGTCAATAGGAGGGACACGAAGGGACATAACTGGTAATAGCCACTGGTGGCGCTACGATCGAGCCTTGAAATTCCAGCCTAGCTCAGCAAGGGTAGGAACTGCAGTCAGTTAACAACCTTGCCTCAGGAAGATGATGGGTTTGATGACGCTTTGAACAGTACTTCATTCTAGTCACAGCATGTCAGTAAGTCAAAAGCCCAAAGTGATGAAGGTCTCAGACGTTTACCACTTTGGTGGAACCCACAAGTACAGGTATGGTGCTGACAAACCTAGAAACATAATCAGGGGGGATCTGGGATTTTACCCCACAATGATAGGTTTCTAGCATGCCTAAGGGATGCAACTCTACAGTCAGTAAAGAGCTGGGAGCTGTACATCGTGTATATCTGATTACAATCAGTAAAGAGCTGGGAGCTGTATATCATGTATATCTGATTACAGTCAGTAAAGAGCTGGGAGCTGGATAGCATGTATATCTGATTACAGTCAGTAAAGAGCTGGGAGCTGTGTAGCATGTATATCTGATTACAGTCAGTAAAGAGCTGGGAGCTGTACATCGTGTATATCTGATTACAGTCAGTAAAGAGCTGGGAGCTGTAATTGTGTATATCTGATTACAGTCAGTAAAGAGCTGGGAGCTGTACAGCGTGTATATCTGATTACAGTCAGTAAAGAGCTGGGAGCTGTATATCGTGTATATCTGATTACAGTCAGTAAAGAGCTGGGAGCTGTATATCGTGTATATCTGATTACAGTCAGTAAAGAGCTGGGAGCTGTATATCGTGTATATCTGATTACAGTCAGTAAAGAGCTGGGAGCTTTACATTGTGTATATCTGATTACAGTCAGTAAAGAGCTGGGAGCTTTACATCGTGTATATCTGAATACAGTCAGTAAAGAGCTGGGAGCTGTATATCGTGTATATCTGATTACAGTCAGTAAAGAGCTGGGAGCTGTACATCGTGTATATCTGATTACAGTCAGTAAAGAGCTGGGAGCTGTACATCGTGTATATCTGGTTACAGTCAGTAAAGAGCTGGGAGCTGTATAGCATGTATATCTGATTACAGTCAGTAAAGAGCTGGGAGCTGTACAGCATGTATATCTGATTACAGTCAGTAAAGAGCTGGGAGCTGTATATCATGTATATCTGATTACAGTCAGTAAAGAGCTGGGAGCTGTATGGCATGTATATCTGATTACAGTCAGTAAAGAGCTGGGAGCTGTACATCGTGTATATCTGATTACAGTCAGTAAAGAGCTGGGAGCTGTACATCGTGTATATCTGATTACAGTCAGTAAAGAGCTGGGAGCTGTACATGGTGTATATCTGATTACAGTCAGTAAAGAGCTGGGAGCTGTACATCATGTATATCTGATTACAGTCAGTAAAGAGCTGGGAGCTGTATATCATGTATATCTGATTACAGTCAGTAAAGAGCTGGGAGCTGCACATCATGTATATCTGATTGTAGTCAGTAAAGAGCTGGGAGCTGTACATCGTGTATATCTGATTACAGTCAGTAAAGAGCTGGGAGCTGTACATCGTGTATATCTGATTACAGTCAGTAAAGAGCTGGGAGCTGTACATCGTGTATATTTGGTTACAGTCAGTAAAGAGCTGGGAGCTGTATAGCATGTATATCTGATTACAGTCAGTCAAGAGCTGGGAGCTGTACATCATGTATATCTGATTACAGTCAGTAAAGAGCTGGGAGCTGTATGGCATGTATATCTGATTACAGTCAGTAAAGAGCTGGGAGCTGTACATCGTGTATATCTGATTACAGTCAGTAAAGAGCTGGGAGCTGTACATCGTGTATATCTGATTACAGTCAGTAAAGAGCTGGGAGCTGTACATGGTGTATATCTGATTACAGTCAGTAAAGAGCTGGGAGCTGTACATCGTGTATATCTGATTACAGTCAGTAAAGAGCTGGGAGCTGTACATGGTGTATATCTGATTACAGTCAGTAAAGAGCTGGGAGCTGTACATTGTGTATATCTGATTACAGTCAGTCAAGAGCTGGGAGCTGTATATCATGTATATCTGATTACAGTCAGTAAAGAGCTGGGAGCTGTATATCATGTATATCTGATTACAATCAGTAAAGAGCTGGGAGCTGTATATCATGTATATCTGATTACAGTCAGTAAAGAGCTGGGAGCTGTATGGCATGTATATCTGATTACAGTCAGTAAAGAGCTGGGAGTTGTACATCGTGTATATCTGATTACAGTCAGTAAAGAGCTGGGAGCTGTACATCGTGTATATCTGATTACAGTCAGTAAAGAGCTGGGAGCTGTATATCATGTATATCTGATTACAGTCAGTAAAGAGCTGGGAGCTGTACATCTTGTATATCTGATTACAGTCAGTAAAGAGCTGGGAGCTGTATATGGTGTATATATGATTACAATCAGTAAAGAGCTGGGAGCTGTACATCGTGTATATCTGATTACAGTCAGTAAAGAGCTGGGAGCTGTAATCTTGTATATCTGATTTCAGTCAGTAAAGAGCTGGGAGCTGTACATCTTGTATATCTGATTACAGTCAGTAAAGAGCTGGGAGCTTTATATCGTGTATATATGATTACAATCAGTAAAGAGCTGGGAGCTGTATATCGTGTATATCTGATTACAGTCAGTAAAGAGCTGGGAGCTGTACATCATGTATATCTGATTACATTCAGTAAAGAGCTGGGAGCTGTATATCGTGTATATCTGATTACAGTCAGTAAAGAGCTGGGAGCTGTACATCATGTATATCTGATTACAGTCAGTAAAGAGCTGGGAGCTGTATATCGTGTATATCTGATTACAGTCAGTAAAGAGCTGGGAGCTGTACATCGTGTATATCTGATTACAGTCAGTAAAGAGCTGGGAGCTGTACATCGTGTATATCTGGTTACAGTCAGTAAAGAGCTGGGAGCTGTATAGCATGTATATCTGATTACAGTCAGTAAAGAGCTGGGAGCTGTACATCATGTATATCTGATTACAGTCAGTAAAGAGCTGGGAGCTGTATATCATGTATATCTGATTACAGTCAGTAAAGAGCTGGGAGCTGCACATCATGTATATCTGATTGTAGTCAGTAAAGAGCTGGGAGCTGTACATCGTGTATATCTGATTACAGTCAGTAAAGAGCTGGGAGCTGTACATCGTGTATATCTGATTACAGTCAGTAAAGAGCTGGGAGTTGTACATCGTGTATATCTGATTACAATCAGTAAAGAGCTGGGAGCTGTATATCGTGTATATCTGATTACAGTCAGTAAAGAGCTAGGAGCTGTACATCGTGTATATCTGATTACAGTCAGTAAAGAGCTGGGAGCTGTACATTGTGTATATCTGATTACAGTCAGTAAAGAGCTGGGAGCTGTACATTGTGGTGACCATCCTGCTTCTGCTGGACATCAGTGTGTTGGTGGCGTGGCAGATCCTCGACCCCCTGCAGAGGAAGCTGGACCGATTCAGTCTGGAGGCGCCGACAGACACGGAAGAGGACATCCAACTCCGCCCAATGCTGGAGCACTGCAACTCCGACAACCTCACTGTGTGGCTGGGTATGTTACCATGGCAACTGTGAAGTTGAAAGAAATTTGAAGGGAAACAACGATTTTGCAGCATTTCATTCTTTCATCATGTTTATGTTTCATGCTTTGAATTTTATACTTTTAAAAGATTATTTACTTAAAAAATATGTTTTTGAAAAGTTTGTTATGAAAGGAAATCCTAGGACATGTGTCCATAGCACAATACCTGTGTTTATTATGCCTCAAAGGGAGATTGACCAATCAGAGAGCAGAACTACTGACCCCGCATGAGCCTGTTGACCGTCAGTAAAAATCCAAGATGGTTGTTACTGACCTAATATGAGACCATATACTGTCAGTAGCAGCCATTTTGGATTTTCCAACACCTCACATATTTCACATGAAAATTCTGGAACAGAAATTTGTTATGCGACACTGTTTTGTGTTTTAATATCATTGATTTTAATGTTTGCAAGGACATTAATATTTTTATATATAAAGTTTGCGACTTATTGACAAAATAAATACAGTTAAAATTATCAACAAGGTTTGGCCTCTAAGGTTTGAAGAGTAGTCTCCCTTTGACCCTTAAGGTCAACAGTTGTTTGTGTCATGTTTACATTTTGACATGACATGTGCGATACGGATACAAGATAGTGTAAACTTTTCAGCATCAGAAATTCATTATGGTGTCTTTAGTTGCCGTGTATGGTATAATACGGTGTCGGCTGATGCCTCGCCCAGTATATTTTGGCTAACCTAATATGACACAGTTAACGGCAACTAAAGACACCATAACTAATAGAACAGTATTGTCCAGCTGACCAGTGTACCCTCTCTCTGTTCCAGGGGTGCTGTTCGGCTACAAGGGGATCCTACTCATATTTGGGATCTTTCTGGCGTATGAGACACGCAGTGTCAAACTCAAGCAGGTCAACGACTCCCGCTTTGTCGGCATGGCAATCTATAATGTTGTTGTAAGTGTGATACCTGGATAACTGGAGGACTTCTCTTTGTCTCAGTTATTTTAATGCAAGAGTTTCTTTGCTCAAACAATTCCAAAATGTACCTACGATGGTACATAATCATTTTTTTAGTAGCATCAGATTTCATTCCTTCTCACTCACCACCTGCCAGTACACCAACTCACTCACCCAGGCTGGGACGAGTCCAAATTTCCTACCCAGGTACCCACTCCCCTATTACCTGACCCTACCCAGGTACCCACACCCCTATTACCTGACCCTACCCGGGTACCCACACCCCTATTACCTGACCCTACCCAGGTTCCCGCTGTAGGTCTCAAGAGATAGGTACAAAATGTCTGATTGGGAAAATGTACTTAGATACGAGTTCCAACCATCTGTTTATTCAAACAGAAATACGTCAGAAGGAATGCGATCATCCTTCTCTCCTCGCCGCCTCCCCCTCCCCCCCCCCCCCCCCCCCACACACACACACCGCACAGCACACACACAATCGACACCCTCACACCCCCGACTAGTGTAGAGCACTACCTAATCCTTCTCTCCTCCCCCACCCACCCCCTATACACACAGTACACACACAATCGTCACCCTCACACCCCTGACTAGTGTAGAGCACTACCTAATCCTTCTCTCCTTGCCCCCCCCCCCACACACACACACAGTACACACACAATCATCACCCTCACACCCCCGACTAGTGTAGAGCACTACCTCATCCTTCTCTCCTCACCCCCCCCCCCCCCCCCACACACACACACACACACACGGAGTACACACACAATCATCACCCTCACACCCCCGACTAGTGTAGAGCACTACCTCATCCTTCTCTCCTCCCCCCCCCCCCCCCACACACACACACATAGCACACACACAATCATCACCCTCACACCCCTGACTAGTGTAGAGCACTACCTCATCCTTCTCTCCTCCCCCACCCACCCCCTATACACACACAGTACACACACAATCATCACCTTATCATTCCTAATCCTGCTGCCCACCACTATGTATGTCTTTCTGTGACAGGTTCTATGCGTCATCACGGCACCAATCAGCCTCATCATTGGCAACCAGGAAAATGCCACATTTGCATTTGTTGCGCTGGCCATCGTCTTGTGCAGCTTCCTCTCCATGGGCCTCATCTTTGCACCCAAGGTGAGCTGAAATATCATTCCAGACAAGTCAAAACTACCGTCGACATAACACTACAAAACATACTTAGAAACAAGGGCTCATTCGACAATTTTTCCAAGGGATGATATGCATGTATCACCAAAGCAAACTTATTACCATAAATATAAGTCAAAAAAAAATTCACATGAGTAATTTGGGAGGCAATGTGTGCTGAATTCGAGAAATCAATGAAGTAACAGCTACCATGCCTATCTCTCTGTGTCTCAATGTCTGAGATCTGCATAACGTCTGAGATCTGACTGTAATCAGATATACACTGCATAACGGCTTTCCTCCCACACTAACCTGACATGCCATGATATAACTGGAATATTACCCACCCACTCGGTGTCTAAGCTTGGGCATCAGGGATAGACTCAGCCACTTGTCTGTTAGTCCGTGACTAGTGAAAATGTAGAGGGACTGCTTGTTGTCTTCCAAAATCAAGTTACTGTACATAAAACACTTGTCCAAAATCATCACTAGTTGGGTATGACCAATGGTGTCTATCCATGGATAGTCGTTGAAAGGCTTAATTTTTTTATTTTTTCAGATTAGTGACAATCCATAAGCTTTAACGCTTCCAAATATGATACCATTGTCACACCAAATAGTCCATCTTCGCGAGGCAAGAGAGTTAACTGACTATATATTAGGCTGGAATTATGGAGTTTTGGCTGGACTAAGGAGTCTATGTACAGTCAAATCAAAATTGCATAATGAAAGTGACATCTGGTTTGTAAACTGCTGTGCAGATTTCGGTCAATTGCAGGATTTGCGAAAAATGTGTTCTCTCAACTCAGTGTCAAAGGACATTTTCCAAATTTCTTCATGTTTCTAATTAAGGTTCTGATGTGATTTGATGCACTCTGCAAGATAAGACACGTTTTTTTAAAATGTAGATCTTGATTATCGGTCAGATCGTCTTGACTGGGCGCTGCCATATTGCTTGATGTAAATGCAAGTGACATGAAAGATGGAATCTGATTGGTCAATAGGGAGGACATAGAACGGACATCACTCATAAAAGCGAAATTCCTGCCTAGTTCGGCAAGGGCTGAAACTGGACTTTTAAAGTCAGTTAACTCTCTTGCCTCGGGAAGATGCAAATAGTCATACCATTGCTTGTGTTATTGAGATCTTGTTTGATTCTGTAACATGACTGCAGATGATTGAGATTGTCCGCAACCCACAACGTAACGGACAGGAAGTGAGATCACTGACTGACTCACTGGTGAGTCGCGAGGAGGAAGAGAGACATCAGAGGCTGTTGGTGGAGAACGAACAACTCAAGAAACAGATTGCAGAGGTAACCCTTAAATCACAAACTTGACTATGTAGGACATCAAGGTCTGCTAGTCCAGCGTATGCCTCAGTTCATTTCTCAGAGATTCCCATTTTTTAGTGTCATTAGTGTTGTTCATAACAGTGTTGTTTCTCCAACTTGTTAAAAAGGCAGAAAATCTTTCGCTTTCATTCATGCAGATGATATGACATTGATTTAAAAATACACCATTCTCTGTATTCCACAAAATATTTCCATTATAGGACCTTGATTAATCGTATCATAGTTTGTTTGTTTTGTTTGTTTGTTGTTTAACGCCACACTTAGCAATATTCCAGCTATATGACGGCAGTCTGTAAATAATTGAGTCTGGACCAGACAATCAAGTTATTGACATCATGAGCCTCGATCCACTCAATTGGGATATGATGACATGCATCAACCAAGTCAGCAAACCTGACCACCCGATCCCGATCATAGGTTGCTAAAGACCTATTCTACCCTGGATCTTCACTGGTCCAAAGTACACATGGATATGCATATTGAAAGAATTGAAAGTAAATCAAATTGATTTGTTGTAGATGTTAGAATTATTTGGTTATTTAAAAAAAGTAACTATTATTAAGTTTGTGAGTTAATAAAATAATTTACGTGTTTTGTTAACTCTGAGACACACAATGTGATTTTTACAGATGGAGGACCGAGTCCGGGAGCTGAACCTTAGACTCCAGGAGAAAACACAACAGCGAGCACAACTCACACAAGGTCAAAGTCAGGTGACTGGTCGTATCACCGTGGATACGGGGGAGGTTGAGGTTGAAGCCAATGATATTGGAGCAGATCGTGAGGTGGGCGAGTCATCACATCTACTCGGGAAGGCGTTTGCGGAGGATGGGAACATCACCGTAGATGCAAACTCGGATTCAGGACTTGCTAGCGGCTCATTTGCCAAAAGCTCAAAAACATCGGCATCAGATTCAGAGCCATTTTGTTGAAGGGGAGACAAGGATACTTCAAACTAAAGCTGAGGTCTTTGTTTTTCTCAAATTTTTCTAATCCCTTAGAGTACGTAAGTAGAGGCGTTGGAGGTTGTTATGATGTCTTCAACTGTAGTGTCACGTGACCTCAACACATCACACTGGAATTCCCTATGTGACATCACCCCTGTTGTTGTTGGTTTTTTGCGAAAAAAAATAATAGTCTTGGTTCTCAGGAATCCCCCCGCATCATAATATAGTCTGCTGCACTTTACAATTTTAATTCATTTAATTTTTTTTTTGTAAATCCTAATACTTAAAAACAATGCGATCCAAAATAGCACGCAATTCCTTCCCTTTACATGCACACTGCTTTACTGCTCATCTCGTGTTATGGTCATGGCGGCAATAGGAGTTAGTATGCTTGGTTATGTAGGGAGGCCTTTCCCAGGTTGATGGTACACAAGTGTTTATGTGGTTACATACTAGTTTGAACAAGCAAAAAAAAAAACACAGCCCGCCCTCACGATATTTTCAGAATCATTGCCTGAGAACCTTTCTTTTATTTTTTTAAGCCTTACAGACATCTTTAAGTCATGACAGCTTCATTTTATGACTTATATTTAATGACAGGTGTATGTCTATACTCTCTCCTTGTGATCACTGCCACTGGTCGGTCAGAGATGACAATTCGTAGCAGATTACTCAGTCCATTCCACAAATTCCATACCTTCTCATCCATTTCCAATCTCATTAAAATCAGATCTTAGTTCTCGCTACCGCTAAACAAAGATCTGAGGACATCCCATTACGGGTCATGTCAGACCCACCTTTCGCGAACTTTGACCGACCAATTGAATGACTGACAAGAAGTCGACATTAGCCAATCAGAAGGCAGCTTTCTCGTGCTTACGGCACTAATTTCAAATTGGCAACTATGCTTCGAAACATATTTTGACAAATTCTCGATTAAAAATTTGAAACCTGAACAAAAGAACATTCTGGAATGGCTCATAGATGGTCTAGATTGTATGGATTCAGACGTTAAGCCCAACTATTGTTCGAAATACCCCGTGTTAAAGGTTGCATGATTAGAAATCACATTCCAGCTCTCACTTCATGATCTGGTAAGCGACGCTCTGATTCGTCGGATGAAAGGTCGTTCTGACGTGACCCCTAATGGGATGTCCTCAGATCTTTGTTTAGCGATAGCGAGAACTAAGATATGATTTTAATGAGATTAATCCATTTCTTTTTTCGAATCTACACATTTCATAAACATGTGTCACAAAATGTTCATTGAGAAGATATCAACATGAAACACAATATCCATGTACATGTTTATCCTTTGTTTACAATGGTTGTACAGTTCCATGTGCAAACACTGGACCCTTTGGATGTCTGAACATTCTGTCACTGTGATGTGTAAAGATATACGATACTTCTCGAGGTCGCGATTTGTTAGAATCTTTTTGGATTTTGCAAAATAATCTGTAAATCATACAGACTTCCATTAGCATGGACCACTCTGATTTCAGCCTGAGTATGTTTGTTTACAAACAAGAGAAAAGTCCGGTCACGTGATAGACTAATTAGCTTTTGGCAGTGGTGTGACGCTAAGTCGTCAGAGTCTGATTCTATGCTGCTATGAAGACTGTTGTCTTCAGTATGTTTTGTTCCGTCTTCCGCCATGTGTCCTCCACACACCTTCCCACCGTTCTGGAGTAATTGTTTATCTGCCACACTCAACCAGGGACTGTTCCACAAAGCCATCTTAGCGCTAAGGTGATCTTAACTCCCATACTTAAACACCGGCTTACGATGGTCGTAGCTCTAAGATCGCTTTGTGGAACGGTGTCCAGGGCCTGTTCCACAAAGCCATCTTAGGGCTAAGGTGATCGTAACTCCCATACTTTAACACTGGCTTACAATAGTTGTTGTGCTAAGATCGCTTTGTGGAACGGTGCCCTTCAAACAGTACTGCATCCTACTGTATTGTATCTTCATTCTATAATGATAAATATCCTGGATACTTTCACTACCACAGCATTATTTTGAGCTCGAAATATACCTGTCAGCACAAATTGAAAGTGACACTGGTATCCATATCATCAGAGGCAATATAATTTGCTGTGCAGAGTTGCCTTCCTTTAGCATGCCAGGATCCAATGTTCATGGGTTTGAATCCAAGATTCACCCTGATTATGTTTCTAAGTTTGCCAGCAGTATAACCATGTCCATGGGTTTCACTAGAGTTTAGGCTGGGACGAGTCCAAATTTACTACCCAGGTAACCCCCCCCCCCCCCCCCCCCGCCCCCTATTATCCAACCCTACCCAGGTACCCAGTGTAGGCCTCAAGAGTTGGGTACATAGTGTCTGATTGGGAATAGTTTTACCGTAGCCCTGGACAGAATGTATTTAGATACATGTATTAAACGATCTGGTCATGCATACACTGTCGGAGGGAATGGTTGCATAGTCAGAAAGTAACGGTGACTAAAGAGACGAGGATGTCACTTTCAAAACAACTAATGCTGGCGGATAGGTCCATGATAATTTCATAATAAAATGAAGATATTTACCTCAAGGTATCATGGATACAAGTAGTGAGGCATCTCGTGTAGTTTCTGCTCACATGGATTGGAAATACTCTAATTAATGTGATCAGCATCCCATGGATGTTTTAACCAAGTGGGAAGCTAGAGTGAGCAGGCATTGGATTCCAGTAAGTTAGATCTGGGGGAGGTGATGTGAGAACACTTTTAATGTTACTTATTGTATGTTTTACCAAGTTCCTTCCCAGCGCGTGACACCTTCGTTACACTCTCGGTAACATCGCTGCCACCAGTGTGGACGCGGCCATTACAAGAATCTTCAAATTGGCCTTCTATCGCCAAATGTAGTGACGTTTTTACGTTTGTTTATGTCTTTGGGAATGCCATTACAATTATTTTTGAAAAGGTTTACGACTGACCATATTACCCAGATGAATTTGAATTTTTGTTTGTTAGATCAAATTGGTTCAAGATTGCAGACGAACAGAGAAAATCACTCAAATCCCTCCTTACATGACGACATATCAAAGTGGGGAGTTTGACTGGTGGCAGCGATAGTATAGAGAGCTCCGCAAACGGGCTGTCACTGTGGGGAGCTTGACATTTTACCTCTTTGAATCTGTTGGAAATAATGAAGATGTTATGTTATGATCATATTTACAGATCATTTATATATATTATTTGTGTTAGAGAGAATTCGTCTTATTGTGTCAGTGCAACCATTCATGTTGTGTTTGTGCTACAGTTAATATTACCATAGTCAGAGTTTCTCGACCCAGCCCTTCACGTTTTACATTCAGATTACCCTATTCGACGTAATAAGCGCCCAGGGCACTTTCAAAATTAGAAATAGGGGGCTCTTATTAGAATATAATTTTGATGAAAGGGTTGAAAGATCGTAAATTTCATGGTTTATGCTGACAGCCAGAAATGATACAAAAGAAAAGTCTGTGCGTATTATACACAAATAAATAAGTCTTGTGTACATTGATCAATCGGAAGGGGTGCTATTTGGGATTGTTCCATATATCAGCAAATATCGCGGTGGGCGCTTATTAGAGCGGGGCGCTTATTACGTCAAATACGGTAACTTGATTTTGTAAGCCAAGATGGTAGTTGATTTGTCTGAAATCTGGAAGACACATTTGTCAAAACAAATGGTCCTTTCTGGTATTGGAGACAGGTTTTGGCAACTGTTTTACCCTTGGGTCAAAGTCATCTTGTCATCTTTTGAGCTGACCTCGTCCCAGCTCCACTGTGTTCCGAGTCAACTTTCTGCCAAGTCATACATGTCTGTAGATATTCCCTGTAGATATAGGGAGCCCGAGGAAGTCTTGTGACCTGACGAAAGTCACCATGGTCAATGTCAAAGCCACTATACATGGCCTTTGTGTAACTATTTCTTGGCACATTTTTATGGTTATTGAGAAGTCACAACGAATTCGCTTCTGGTTACTTTCTGTCTTCTATATTTTAATCTATAGATTCATTTTGTTTTGGTTTTTTTACAAGCATTAAAGATGGTGATATTAACACCAAAAAAATCCCCACCAAATAAAGCCACTTTTATCATAACTGGTTACTGACTGTATTTGTGTGGTAACATCTTTAATTTGAGATTCTGTTTGCAATCAATGTTTTTATCTATTTTCAAGCTGGTCTTCCCATTAGTTGAACAGGGGCGGTTGGGTAGCCTAGTGGTTAAAGCGTTCGCTTGCCACGCCGAAGACCCGGGTTCAATTCCCGCCATGGGTACAATATGTGAAGCCCATTTCTGGTGTCCCCCACCGTGATATTGCTGGAATATTGCTAAAAGCGGCGTAAAACCATACTCACTCACTCATTAGTTGAACAACACCTAATCGCCAGCACACAAAGTCAGCAATCAAACCCACTCACCCACCTGAATCTGTACTTTACTGAGAAAGTGTTATCCCAAATTTAACGTTTGTTACATTAGACCACTTTCTAAATGGCATTGTGTGTTCATAGCATTCGGCCATGGGAGCCATGCAAATTTCCGGTTGTCAGGGGGTACACTCAGTACGTGATCTAGACTACCAGTTGTCTGACTTTCATTTTTGTAGAAGCCTCGGTGGCTGAGTGGGATAGATCGCTGACTTTGTGTGCTGGTGATTAGGTGCCTTACTCTGGCCGTATGGGTTCAAATTCCGGACGAGACTCAACCCCAAAAAGTATCAGAATCTGTACTTTACTTAGAAAGTGTTATCCCAAATATAACATTTGTTACATTTGACCACTTTCTAAATGGCATTGTGTGTTCATAGCTTTCGGCCATGGGAACCGTGCCAATTTCCACTTGTCAGAAGGGTACACAAAGTATGTGATCTAGACTACCAGTTGTCGGACTTTTATTTTGTGGAAGACTCGGTGGCTGAGTTGGTTAGATCGCTGACTTTGTGTGCTGGTGATTAGGTGCCTCACTCTGGCAGTATGGGTTCAAATCCCGGGCGAGACTCAACCCAAAAAAGTATGAGAATCTGTACTTTACTTAGAAAGTGTTATCCCAAATATAACATTTGTTAGACATGGAAGTTGTACTACCCTTTCCAAATTTAGCTACTTACATTACTCCTTTGATAGGCATTAGATGTTGGAGTATGTTTTCCCTACTTACATTACATTGTCATTCCAAGGTTCAGACTGGTGGGTAAAGCGTTAGCTAGGCCTGAGTTTGATTCCAGACATGGGAACAATGTGTGACCCCCTGTTGTGATATTGCTGGATTGTGGTGACATAAAAGAATACTCACTCACTCATATGGCAAGGTAGAATTACTTTTTCCATCACAAGTTCGAAACACATAGACATGTGTATATTTTTAGACTGAATGCAATGTTCGTCGGTGAAGTTGGTTCACAGACACTGTGCGTGTAAGACAGATCATTATCGGTATTTTCAAGTTGTCATATTCAAACAATAACTGAATTGAATTGTTTGATTGGCATTACTTAGAAGTTGACGGATGACAAAGTAGGGATGATTTATGGATAACAACTTCTTTATTTACTGAATGGCGATGTTTTGGGATAGATTCTTATACGGTTGTCAAGCTTGACAACAGAAAGGATCTATACTGAAACGTCACCTTTACAGTAAATAGAGAAGTTTTTATCCATAAATTATCTTTTCCTTGTAATAACTGAAAAAAGGACAGAGAAAAGGTATAGATAAATTCAAAACCGTTTTAGATCTAAAGTCTGGAAATATGAAAGCGTGGGTGTATCATTGCACTGTAGAATCAATACAATCTCATTAAGTCAG